AACTGTTTTATTGCAAAAATCTATATAATAATGATTGAAAATCAATTTTTTCTTAATTTGTGGAAAAAAACTAGAAAATTTATTTGAAAGATAAGTGACAAATCCAAAATTATATGTAGATACATTTCAATTATTGAGGTTTATCAACCATGAATGATAAAATATATACTGAATTATTTATATATAAAAAATTACTAGAAGTAATCCAAATACCATAAATATGAATTTAATAAAGGTTCTGATTTAACTTACATTGATGATGATAGATCTTATTTTGATAATGATGATAATTTAGTTGAGTGTTGATGACAAAGTTGGTATTGATGATGATTTCATAAAATATGAGAAACATGATGTTGTGTTGTCTAGGAAAAATATTTTGTTATTGTTGTGGCTACGCTTTTTAATACGACGAAATCAGTTGTTTATATAATTTTGGTATGTCTTTGATTTTAGAAAATAGTATGCTTGATGAACTAGCAATATTTTTTTTAACGCAAATCTTCATTTCACAAAGTTAACCATCTAAAATACAAATAAAAGAGATAAATATCCATCGTCTTTAATGATAACAACAAAGCTAAACAACAACATAAATCAAAGAAAACTTAAGATATATTGGCTGCATAGAGTGTGCATTGTTATAATTTCTACACCCAATACCCATTATCCCACAAATAATATTATGTCATAATTATATATATTTTATATATAACATATAATATTATAATTATATGTTGTATTATATATATTACAATAAATGTCATGTTATAATAATTATATTGTGTTAAATATATAATTACATATATACATATTATATATAACTTATATATAACATGTAAACATATTTTATAATATATACGCATGTTAGTGTATGTTAATATGTTTAAAATAATATATACGTAATATTGTCATTTACATAGAGAGATGTGGATCGAATTCATTTTCAACATGATTTTTTTCTTAACACCTGCATAATGAACTTGAAGATGATCACATGGCTACTTGGAAAGTACTCCTGCAAATTGCCAAAGATATTGCCGGTGTTCTGTGGTACCAATAGATTGTTTGTTGTTAAAAGGAAGAGAAAGAAAGCTTACAAAGACTCTCTTTCCAAAAAGGACGAAATTTAAGGCGATTTAAGTTCATTTATGAAGTTTTGAGTTCTTATTGAAGAAGTAGTATTGAATTCATAACACTAGTTCTTCAATAAGATAGCAAAAACAAATTCATATCCATATTTTATTATATATGCATGGGAACTAAACTTTATAGACTCTATGATAATTAAACACGTCTGTATGCATTAATGTATATATATATATATATATATATATATATAAAAGTATTGTTGTTAATAACATATTATCTGTATGAAGGTGAAAAGTATTGTTTTTCACCTTCGGCGCATCTATGAATTTGTTTTTTGCTATCTTATTGATGTTAAAAAGACGTATGTCTGCATTAATATATATAGAGTGGCGAATCTACATGGAGGGATAGGGTGTCAAGTGACACCATATTTTTTTGGATTTTCTTTGATAATTATATGCATTTATGAACATTGACACCATATAAAAATTATAATTGAACCCATAAACATTTTTTTCTTCCAATCTTCGTATATCTATTTTGAATTCATAAGCAAATTTTATATATTAGCCCCTGTTTTAATGTTGAGCTTTCATATCAATATATTAAGAAAGATTTAACTTTATTTAGAAAAAAAAATTGATATATGAACCCGGTTAAAAAAAATTCTGGATTCGCCACTGTATATATATATATATATATATATATATATATATAAAGTATTGTTGTTAATAACATATTATAAATTTATAATTTTTTTTGTTTTTCACATTCCGACAATATTATCCAATGAAGAAGAGCACGAAGGTATGTTTTATTGTTATGTATAATGTATAGAGTTTTTTTTTTTTTTTTTTTTTTTTTTTTTGCTGTTTGTTATCGCTAATGTTGGTTCCACTGAGCGAACACAAGTAATTAGTCGGCTTTTGAAACTAGAGACAAAAGAAACAGTACCAAAACCATCAAATGACAATACTAGACTCTTGCCTGGTTACCAAATTAACTAATTACTTATATATTTAAAAGACTATTTTACATTTGCTAGTTCTTCATGTACTATATGGCCCACGGGTTGTGGTCGTGGAACTCATCACTGGAAAAAAGCCAAAGTCCTTCTAATCGGCTCAACATCCTATGACATTTCCACAACATCCATCTTCGAATCAGAAATGATCGAGAGACAACTACTCTTTTTTAGGTTTTAATGTTATCGAGACAACTTCTTCTTATTATTGGTATCACATTTTTTTTTGTTAGAATAATTGTATATTTTAATATTTTGTTCGATTTTTTACTTTAAGTTTGGTTTGATTTTTTGGTCCCCTATAATTTGTGAAGTTTATTTATATACAATTTGATCTTATTGGCCATCCTTACTTTTCGAAATTAAATTCTTTTTCGGCCAAAGAATTAATTGGTTCATATTTGTGTTTAAATTTAGCTAAAATCATTAAACTTTTATCACAGAAATTTATTTATTTATAAATACCACCTAAAACAAAACTGTGTCCTCATTTTATCGAAATCTTGTAGACAGACATGTAACCCCAAGTTCCTTCATGTAATAATGAGTTCCGTTTATGGATTGAGATAAAAGTGACGGAGTTTACTTTAAGGAAAATAAAACCAAACCAATGACACTTTTCATCCATCTACCCACAAGTCATAGGCTTGGTTTTATTTTCCTCCAAGTCAATTCCGTTGTTCAGTTTTGATCCTCATTTTTATTTTGATGGAAAAACGATTGTTATCATGATATTTAGTGTGTATAAATAGAAATTTTGAGGAATGTTTATCCTCAAGCTACTGCATAGAGTTTGCATGTAAGCTTCGACAAAATCTGTTATAACTTCTAAACCCAACCCATTATCCCACAAAAGTAGAACATATATATTTGTCTCATTTTTTTTTGAAATAATATTTACGGGTGATTTTGAGTTTAAAAATGGCATTTCAGCTTACGAATCAACGAGCAGTGAACCGTCAAACACAATCATCCATGGAAATATCTTAAGAGAAAGAAAGAGAAGCTGTGTCTTTCTTCTTTTTTTCCTCGGTATCCTTTATAGCCGACATCATAAATATCTAGAAAATATACTTGTTTAGGGTTGAATTATAAAGATAAAATATATGTAGAACTTGTGCGAAGATATGTCGGCCGAATAAAAGCGACACAGTTAGATTTGAGTTTGTGTATTAATGAAGAGCTTTATATGATATCCACCGAGGAGATCCCATCACATGACACACATCACTCTTTTTCCTTCTTCGTACACAGTCACACACAACCTTATTTTTTTGTTCTTTAACGTTGGTAGCTGCAGTACAAATTTTGATATTTTAATGATTATGGTATAAATATGAATTCGGAAAGTCTGTCTTTAATATATGTTTTGTTACCTATACGTACTATAGTGTAGGGTATTTTTCTGTTTTCAATATATAGAACTAAAATTTACGTAAAATATAGGCTTTTTAAGATCTACTTTTGTTTTTTGCTAAAAGATTGAATAGTTAGTGGCCCTTATTAACATCTACTAATTTAGCGTGAAGATGAATGTGGGATATTTAAGTTGTTGACAAGGAAAACAAAAAGATAAATGTGGGATACTTTGAGTTTGATGTGTTGTGTCGTTGTGACATTGAAAATCAGGAGTACTATAGGCATGCATGCATCTCCTTTGTACGTATATACTTAATTAGCCACACAAATCAATAAAGCCCACGTTTTCCTTTGTGTGATTTGATCCAAGATTTTTTTTCAAACCCCGACATATGCACACTACCAAAAAGTATTTGTGTTTTAGGACGGAACAATTTATTTTCAAAAATTTAAATATAAAATGAATAGTAATTCACTAACAATCATTGCTAAACTTAAATAATTATATTTCAAAAGATAATTACGTCGTAAATTTCAAAGAAATAAGGGAACACGTACGTCTTAAATTTCTAAAGGTTTGATCTTTGTGCGCGCAATTGCATTACACCATATTTTCATGTATGGATGCTTGAAGTGTAATGCTCAAGATCATAGCAGAATGTTAGCTGCCAATAAATTCTGATGGAAGCGCAGGAGAGACATCATATGATGATAAAAACAAGTGTGAGTGTGACAATATGACGTGATGTGTTACTGTGCTAGTTTTGACCAAAGACGAGGTCGGTCAATGAACATAATTATTAACAAAATCTTTAAATAATATTATAATGGTTTCATAGTACGATGGATTTTAACCAAAGAGAGAGCTCTAAAGTCTGAGTTGATGTCTTACACGGATTTTCACGTAGCAGTTTCAGGAGAATAATCAACACTGATTTGTGTAGTTTTAGAGACTTTAAATATTTTTGGGGTAGTTTTTATTTCACTCTAACTCTTACTCCATCTGTTTCAGTTTCAGTTTATAAGGGGTTTTAGGTTTTTTCATAATAATTAAGGAAGCAACTAAAATACCTCTTATAACCTTATCTTCTATTACTTATTTCAATATTATACCACTAAAAAGTTTTCTCCACATTGAATAAGGGAAGGGTAAAAATGTGAAGTAGTGGCAATTTTAGTCTAGATTATCGTGAGAGACAATTATTCTGCAACAAATTTTTTTTCCTAAAACCCCTTATAAACTGAAACAGAGGGAGTAATAAATTAATAGTATTCCATATTTCCACATGTCGTAGATGCAAAAAAAGTGACAAGTAGCCAAAATTATCTGAAACCGAAACATCGGAAATCAAGAGTTCTTTTGTTAAAATAAGTTTCACATAGATTGCACAAAATATTTACATACACAATTACACAGACGCATCTTTGAACTAAAAGTGTGAAATTTTTTAATTAAAATTGTTGAACCTTTACAAAAATGTGTAAAGCCGCTTGGCATCGTCTTTCTTTTATTTTGATCTCAAATTTAGTTCGCAAGCTTTGTTAAGTAATATAATCTCGTTGAGACTGGCGATTGCATGGCCAATAAAAACCGGTACAACTCTAGAAACCTGATTTCAAGGCAAACCGATTCGGTTTTCAACCGATTATTCTCCCTTGATATGGCATTATCACAGCTCAAAACATTGGCCAGCTGGTTTTTCAGCTCCTGGTTCTTCAAGTTCAACTGGTTTACCTCTTCGGTTAACTCCTCAAAACGTCTCTTCTTCCTCAATCTTGATCTCTTTGCTGATTCCCGGTTTGATAACGTTCGTCTTCTCTTCCTCTCATCAACCGGTTCTACCATTTCCTCTGAACCACACGGATTGTCCAACTCGTCCGATTGAAGAAACGCCAAAATTTCTGTGATTTCATCTCCGGTTATCGTGGCATCATCAAAGCAGATATGAACCGGCTCAAAATTGGTTGAAAACATTGCTGACAGTGGAAGAGAAAAATCCGGTTTAGTATTGAACCGATTTTTGGTGTAATTTCTGTAGGGAGGAGAAAGTGAGCAAGAGAGGAAGGGGAAGGAGTCAAATGAACTACGTGTGGTTATTTATAGAGAGAAAGATGAAGAACAAGTGGAACCCCCATTAGGGTTAAGACCACTAAAAATGTGCCAAGTAATTTAAAGTGTTATAATTAGAGTGAATCTAAGAGATTAATTGGAATGTTTGTCCATTAGTGGCTATAGATATCGTTATTACTATTTTATTTAGAAGTTTTGTTTTTTTCAATCCTTTTGAGCCTTTTCTTTGGATTTTGCTTTTCTTAAAAAACTTTTATCCTTTAATATCTTAGCACAACTTTAAAACTACAGAGATAGATAGTGTATTAGTTTCACACTGTCATTGTAAGATTAGTGTATTTTCAGTTTGTATTTTTTATTAATAAAATGCAGTTATCATTAGTGCTGGATGTTAACGGTGTCACAATGTTTTAACAACCCATATTTAAAACTATAAAACACTAGATGTCGGTTCAATAATATCTGAAAAAGTATCACGTAACATTAAACGATCATTCATTTATAATATGGTTTTTCTCTGGTCATAATTAAAGTTATTATGTACCTGAAAACGAAAGATTAATTTGGTGTTTGTATTCAGCTTTTAAGTTAAAACTTATAACTATAAGGGGGAGAAAATGGAGTGTGGGTCTTGACCAAGACGAAGATGAGAGCTTAGCTTAATGACGAAGAATCTAACAAAAAGCATATTACGTCTAAGTTTTTTATGTTTGGATTTTCTTATCTTTTTGATAAGATAAAGTAAAGAATACAAGTGAAACTACAGCTGCATTATCTTTATAGTCTATCTATGACGTATCATATTAATCACAAAAACATTAGCAATGATAATGAAATTTAGTCAAAATTTAAGTTTTAGAAATTATAAAACTATTCCACATGTAAATAAAGATAATTTTACAGAGATAATTAATTAGGTATTCTTAATATTTAACATGACAACATATAATGTATGTATCTCAATGATTGAGTTTCTCCATTTAGCTTGGTCTAAACATATTGAAAGGCTTTTTCTTAAAAATAAGATAATAACCAAAGTGATTATTCTTCACACATGGCATGAGGACATAATTCACAATTATGTGAGAGAAAGAGTACAGCAGAACATTAAAAACATAACTATACGACAATGTCATTTGGGTACCACTAGCTACCACCTTACTAGATCGAGTTTTAATTAGAATACTTCGCCATTGGCATTGGGGTTATAATAACCAATCTTGGGTACTTATTTGGAATCTACTTTTGTCCAAGTTTTATATTTTGGGCAGCAATTTTTTATTTGCCAACAATTATTTGCAGGTTAAAGGATGTTAAAGAACATACTATTCTTATATTTGACTTTTGTAATCACGTTTCAAGATAATCCAAGTCCAGTGTTTGTGACTTTTGTGGCTTTTGTTAGTGGACTCAAACATGCACATTTCAGAACTTCTGTTAATGAGAATCTAGCTATAGTTTAACAAAATTCTTTTGGTTATAAAATTAGAAACCTTAGCTTAAACCGCAGACACAGAGTTTTGTCATCTAATTAGGAAATGTCTACCACCAAGAGTTGGATTCATGTGCGTCTTCCCCATTTGCCGACCAATATTTTATTTTGTTTTATTCTTTAGCATTCCACATCCTCAAGTATAGTCTAAAAGACTAAAACAAAAGCAAAAAGTTGTTTCTTTTCACACATTTAATACTCTTAATTACCATATGTTCTATGCAAGGCATTTGTAAGTAAAACAAGTTTATGTTGCAGAAATTGGTAGATCTTACCAGATGATTTGGCGACTAAACAAGGCAATACCAAAAGTGTTGCATAATGTCCATGCCTATCTCAGTCTATTGCCTTAGTTTAAGGTATATGCATGGACATTCGGTTCGAGTTTGGATCAGTTCTTTTGCGTTTTTGATATATTGGTCTATGAATCTATTAATATATTTTTCGTTTTCCGGGTTTAGAGTTTGATTACCTTAATTACCCGAAATATATATGAAAGACCAAAAAACATTGGTTCAATTTACATAAACTGAAATTTAAATTTTGAAAAAAAACATATTTAGTTATGACAAATATAACTAAAGATTTTTGGATATTTCAGTTTATGGATGTGATTTTTGGTATAGGTTACTTCAAATCATAATGTAACCAATATTTTAGGGTATTTAATACAATTGTATTTTAGGGTATCCATTTGGTCGGACTTTAGTACAAGATTGTTTAAGTATTGTATATATGTCGGTTCCAAGTAATTTTCCCAGGCCTAGACCGAGTTTACAGTAGACCTAGACGGACCACGTAAGAGTAGCCAAAATCTATAGACTTGATGATTTCAAACTTTACAACTTCACTTTCACTTATTACTGGAGGTAAACCACAAAGACAAGTACCAACACAAATAAATAAACCAAAGAACAGAAACTGATTTGCACAAAACACACAAACTCCTGTTTCCTGCGACTTTCATTTTTTTTTCTTTCTATTTGGACTCCACAAACGTTCTAATCCATGTTTACTGGTGGAGATGCCTGAAACAAGCACAATAATGAAATCCGATCAATAATCCAAAAGGGATAAATCAATCGGGTGTAGGGGAAGAGAGACCATTTTGGTTATACCTTGAACAAGAGATCATGAGCAATAGTGTCCCACGGCAACGAGATGGACATTAAACAGCACTTGAGAGGGAACATCTCGTCTTCGTCGTACGAGGCCGTAGCAGCTGCGATCGCATGTTTAGCTGCGACAGATGCAACAGATGCTGCTTTACGGAAAATGGATCCGAGATCGGTGCTCTTCTTCGAAGACATTGGTGAAACAGTTCCTAAAACTACTTGGCTCTGATCTGAGAGAAAAGCAATTTCTAATACAATCATCGCTTATAGCACACTACCTCTCTTTTCACATATACACATTTCAAGATTTTTAACTGTTTCTGTTATTACGTCTACCCTCTTAAAAATGTTTTACTTTTTTAACTTTCATGCAATATTACTAACTGTGCCGTTAAAACTCGAGAATCGGAACAATAAAGGAAGAGTACCTATAACGCCAGAGACAGCGACTTCAACTTCGCCACGTCCTCCAGGACCTTTCATGTAAAGTCGGTCTGCTTTTCCTGTGTGATGGCCCAGTGATAGAAGACTTCCAAACCGATTCCTCCCCCCTGTGATACAAGATAAAGACGATAGAAAATTCAGGAAAAAGCGTGAGGGTATAGACAACGCAACAAGCAATAGTAGCTTCCTTTGACTTTCTAGGTGAAATCATATTACATTCAAGTAACTAGCGAAACAGAGCATCAGGGGCCATGGATACAAACTTTGCTAGAGGATTGAGTTAGATTCTATAGATGAATAAAACACTGAAGAGAGACTGTAAAGTGACCTTCATAGGCTTCTCGAACCATTTGATAGCTGACAAATCCAGAAAACAGAGTAACCTGCAACCAAAAGCACCAGCATGTCAAGTTTCCTTTTTTACATTAGCAAGTTTTACCATGTAATGTGTCCATATGCCTTACAAACCATATGGTTTAAATCAATTAGCAAAGGAAAAAATGGTAGATGACTGGACCTGACCTTAGGATCTTTCACACTTCTGGAATCAGTATTTGTATTCGAATCTTTATCAGTTTTTCCAGTTTCGCTTGGAAAGGCTGCCCCATCATGAGAATTAAGAAGTACGCAGTAGCAATGATCTTTATCTGTCAGAACCTGAAAACATCAATGAGAAAGTGTTTCAACACGGTTGGAGGAAAAAAAGTGCAATATACTATAACAATTTCCATGCACAAAACCTAAACTTAAGTTATTATGGGAACCACAAAGCCAAGAATGCATGTATCTTCCCCTCAGTGGCAAAGAAAATCCAAGGATATTTCGTCAACTAAAAACTATTCTTCCAGAGCACTACCTTAGAATCCATTCATGTGTAGACCCTTCTTCGAATCAAAGGACTACAAAATATGATGCTTGGAAGGACAATACAAAGAAATGGAGAAGAAAATATGTTACCACAGCATCAAAGGTTGAGTCAAAATCATCTACGGCAAAACAAATTTCTGGGTAGGCAGGTGTTGTCTCCACTTCCTAGGTACAGAACAATGGAAACATCAAACGCGAATTCCAAATGGACAGACTTTGCTACGAGAAAAACAACTATTGTTACCTTCTTTGAGTCCAGATGAAAATTTACGCGACTAGGTGATGCATATACAGTTTTTACAACCTGTCAGATCAGAGAATGCATTATTATTGGTTAACAGTATATGAAACAACTAGTTAAGGCTCAGAAAGAAATGCCTAATCTCTGTTTAGTCCAACACTCCTGTGGAATGTCCTCTCTTTTTGAAAAAATTGAAGCTTGACAATATGATCATGATAAACACAAGCTGGACTGGTATACACTGAACAACTGAGTATATAACTACTCTGTGGCTTCAGTTTCTTTTTCAAATAAACAGATTAAAGAAGAGCTGAAGAGTCAAGAATAGTTTCATCTAACACTCTTAGTATCTCTAACCTTGTATATAGGAGATAATGTTGTGTCTTTACTTCCTTGGTACGTCTTAAGCGCCTCATTACTAAAAACACGAGCAGTTCAATGTTACCATGACGTAGTCAAATGGAAAGACAGAAGCAACATATGATAAATAGAATATGGACAACGGAAGAAACAGGTCATAAAAAATGACTTAAGGCGTAATCACCAAAAATGACCGACATGATGCCCCTAATTTACAATCTGAAATTCACACAATTACCTGCAAATTGCCACCGTAACAGTGAACGATGTGTGTGCAACCATGTTCAAATAAAATGACTTCCTCCAATCAACGTCACCCAGACTTTCACCAAGCAGCTCATCCAACTGCTTCTACAGGGAGAAGAAATCCATGACCATGTGTTTATAGACAATACATACAACAAACAAATGGTTACTTTCAAGTGTCAGAGGGCCTAATCCCCAAATAAATAAGATATGATAGATCATGAAAAGCTTTGCTATGTAGGCCATGGAAGAACAATCCATAAAAAGCTTTTACCTTCAAGCGAGTCACAATCTAAGACCTTATGATATATAATTTCTTCTTCACAATTGAAATGTTATATTGACAAAGCCAAACCTTATCTGATAAGACCTAACCAGATTTTACCTTAGGTGCCCACCTGCGCACGAAGTAAGGAGCTGGTGCGTCTTCATTTTCAGTCAAACCATAAGATTTACAGCTCTGCCAAAAGTAATAGAAACACTCAGCAACATTCACAAGAAGGAAGGATAATACAAGCTTCAAGATTTCGGTTTTAGAGAAAAGGTGGAAGCTACTGCTACATACCAATTTCCTAACAAAGAATAAAAGATCATCGTCTTGCCTCCTCCTTGACTCCATCCCACGAATGAAGTACACATCAAACACACCATGCCAGAAATTCGCGTCCATTTCTACATCTGACGCGTCTTGCTCATCGAGAGACACTTTCCCTAACGACTTTGAGTGCTTTTTCACCATACTCAAAATCTCGTGCCTGAGAAATCATGAATCACAGGAATCAGAATCAACTAAAAACCTTTTACCAGATTCTCGATTGATCCAAATAAGCATTCTCGGAGTTCAATTTGAGCAAAATTACTGGAAATTGACGCCGAAACTACTGGAACTAAGCACGAACAAGCATAAAAACATAGAAGAATCTGAAGTTATATGATCTAGAATTATTTACCTAGACGGAGTCTCTTCTCCATCGTTGAGCATTTCTACACTCAAGCTTTAGCAAACTCCGATTCTGTAAAATCCTTTCGCCGGTTCAATACGAAAAACGGTGCGACGATTCGCGATCGGGATATGGTTGTCTCCTCGGAGCTCTCTCTGTGTACGTTTCTAATTTTGCTTAATTCGATGGGAGAAGAAAGAAGAAAGAAGAAAGGAAACAGAAAACGTCGATCTGATTTGCTGTAGCTTTGGCCTGATGCGTCAATCGGAGAAGGAGGAACCTCAATAACTACCGATTTGGCGATTTGCTACAGTGAAAAAGATATTTGAGAGTTTTTATTTTGTACTTAAATTAATAAAACTTTAATTAATTGTCTCTTCTGGACACTTAAATGCACTTTTACCAATGTTTTTAAAACCGGACCAGAGACTGAACCGAAAATATTTGGTTCATAGATTAACATGGTTCAATCGGGTTCAACCTGGTTCAATGATATTTTAAGAATATTCAAGTTCACTTTAACAAAAATAATAATAAGAATATTGTTTGCTTGGTTGAAAATTTTGTATCGGTTTTGCTTAGTTTTTTTTATTCAATTTGTTTCAGCCTCTAAGATTTGAAATTAGAGTCCTCCTGAAAACTTAGGTTTATAATTTGATGTTTGTGCTCTAAGACTAAGTTATGTTTTGCAAATGGATGTGTTTGGGATGTGATCAACATGCGATGAGTGTTTTACTGCGTTCTTGCTAATGAGAGATTTGTACAACTTTTGCTCATGTTACTGTTCTTTGAATTGGATTACAAAGTTTTTGTTATTTTGCTGTGTTTAGATGATAAATTTTATATCTCTAACTTAAAGGAAGACAAAGAAGGAGAAAAAGAAGTTTAAGAACTGTGTTGTCTTTTGATTTGGTATTTTTTTTGTCACTTGATTGATTATATATGTTTAGTAAAAACTATTGTGATGATCATAGAGGAGACAAACAATTCTTTGTATATGTTCCTTACTTTGTGGTTTCATTCTCTCATAATGATAATATTATTCTTTGGTCAGGTGGAGAAATAAGTCAAACTTTGATGAAGAAACTCTTTTGTTTTCTCTTGTATTTGGATTTGATACTTATGTCTTGTGTTCATGTTTTTGGATTTGATCATTTCGTCTTGTAAACTTAGCCAATGTGATGGATCGATGTTGAAAACTACCAATGAGCCAAAACAAAAGTATCTTCAAACGTTTTTATTTGATTAGTGTGATTTACAATTTTTTTTTTTTTACATTATAGAAAATTCTATTTTTTTGGTTTTCTAGTTTTGATGGTTTATTATTATAGACATGGTTTTTAATGTACACAGTATTAGATGATGAGAAGTTTGTAATGCAAGAATTGTGTATTCACTCTCATAACTTATTCAATATACATAGAGTACATATATATACTCTATATATATACAAGTCGCGCCTATCACCACCGACGCTTCAGTCACGCCTTCTCATCCCTTTGCACAGAGAATCAGATGCGAATCAGAGGGAATCCTTGCATCTCGCGAGCGTCTTCTCCGATGAACCGAGACGACTCGATCAGCTTCTTCGCCCATAAGCTATTCCGACCAGCCGCCGTTCGTCCTCCGCGAAGCCTGCTCCGCTTCCCGGTTGACTGCGAGCTTCTATCCGCTGATTCATCTTCTTCTATATGATGATGAAATCTAAAAAAGCTCCACCGCCGGGCATTCCTTCGCCGCCGTGATCTCCACCATCTCAGGCATAACTCTGATACCATATTAGATGATGAGAGGTTTGTAATGGAAGAATTGTGTATTCACTCTCATAACTTATTCAATATACATAAAGTACATATACTATATAAACTCTATAAATTAATACTCGATAAATTAATAAATTTCTCCGATCCCGAGTTAGGTCGGGGTAAAAATTGACACAATTCGATAAAATAATAAGATAATAACTTTTTGCAAGAGCTTTACATTGCCGACTCTCTAGCAGTTTTCAGCTCACTTGTTTTATGGAGAATATAAGGGGAAGCTATAATAGAGGTCTTGACGAGTATGGTTTGAAGCTTCACTTACAAGACCAATTTCTTTCCAAGATTTTAAACCAAAATGGTATGAGTATATACCATTTACGTGCGATACAAGAAAGACTACATGACCAAAAAGTTCTTATCATTCTTGATGATGTGGACGATTTGCAGCAACTTGAGGCTTTGGCTAATGAAACTAACTGGTTTGGTCCTGGAAGTAGGATCATCATAACCACGGAAGATCAAGAGCTTTTGGAGCAACATGATATCAACAATACATATCATGTGGATTTTCCAACCAACGAGGAAGCTCGTAAGATCTTTTGTAGATATGCTTTTAGACGAAGCTTAGCACCATATGGTTTTGAAAAGCTTGTTGAGAGAGTAATAGAGCTTTGCGGTAACCTTCCTTTGGGTCTGCGTGTCATGGGCTCAACTTTACGTGGAAAAAGAGAAGATGATTGGGAAGGTTTATTGCGAAGTTTGTGATGTCCTCGACAATGATTCTGTAAGTTTTTCTTTTTTAACCGTTAAACCATGTCCTCGACAATCTTACCTGTTGTGCTAACGATTTATTTTTATTTTTATTTATGGAAAATGTTTAGGTTAGTAGAAATGTGCTGGGTATATCTTTTGATTTATCCAAGATCATAGACAACATGTGTATAAGCGCCAAAGCTTTTAAGAGAATGCGTAATCTTCAATTTATCAACATATATAGATGATGACCCCGATATCAAATCAGAGCATCTATTTATGTATCCGTATGAGTTTCCTGATGAAGACGGATGGCTTGAGAGCATGACAAGGAGATATTGTTCGAATTCAGCAAAACCCATCCCAAGAAGTCAGTATAATTGAATGTGGTGTCCAAATCTTGACGGACGAAACCGACACAAGCAGAAGCAGCTATATGGAAGCTATGAAGACAATGATGAGAATCTCTCTGATGGGAGCTATGAATCTTGCTTAGAGCAAGTGTTTGACGATGACAATGAAAAATATGTCTCTCTTGGGAGTAGTGAGTTTGATCTTTGCATGCATCCATAGTAAAGGTACTTTTTGAGGATTTATAGAATTTCTTATATAAATCAAGTGTTCTTTTGTATAGCTTTCTAGCTGAAACATCAAGACTTGATAGTATGCATGCATTTTGGTGCATTGAACTCTCTGCGTACCGTTAGAGAGTGTTCACTAGTAATACGTTGACTTCTTTTGAAATAATTCTATTATGAACAAGCCCACTTGTTGCAGGGGCCCACCTACTTGTTTGTTTTTCCTTCGTAAACAGTTTTTTTCCAAATGATTAATGTGATACAGAACATTGAGCTTCAATCTTCACACGCCAAGCTCTTTGCCACATCACTTACTCCTAATCCAGCTCAGCATCAACCTTTGAATTAGTAGCCACGTCGGATTCCTCTGTATTCTTCTTGCGAAAGTATTAAAATTTGGAATTTGATGTGTAATAGATTTTTTTTTTGTTGGCGTGTATCTATATTAGAATATTATCGTATATATCTTTCAAAATTTTATATAAATTACTATTATTTAGAGCTTATGTTGCTTTCTAGTGATCAGTTTATCGATTAGTTAATTTGATAAAGTTTTCATTCTTAGTTATATTATTTGATTTACATATATTCATTCATTACAAATTTTCTCTCATATTGCGAGTATATATAATTTGTTCATTCTCAATTAAAGAAAATTTATCTAAACCAATACAATTTACAAATGCCTATCGACTAAAAATTTATAAACTTGTAAATTCAAAAAGAAGAAGAAGCCGTAATAGAGTCTTCCTCACATAAGAGAAAGTCACAGCCCACACAGTCACTTCCTGCGGCCTCGTCCCAGTCTTGTTGAACTTGGCGTATTCATAGTAATGAACCGCCGTCTCGAACATCCCCAAAGCGATCAGCATAGTGATCAGATGCTGAAACTGAGACATCTGCTTCCCCGACTGAATAATCCGCGGGAACCAGAGAATACCTAGGAAAAGATATGCCAAAGAGACTATGCCGAAAACGTCAAGCATTTTTTTAAACTCCTATGTAAAATATGGTCCCAATAATATCATAAATTAATAATCATCATATAAAAACTTATATATATATATATAACTAAGATATCTAGCTACTAAAATATGAATCTCTGAAAAACAAATATGGAAATTAAAAGAGAAAAATGAATTAAAAACAATATGGCAAGTATGAGAAAATGTAAACAATAAAGTAAATATAGAAACATAAAAAAAATTTAAGAAAATATACGTAGAAAGGAAAGTTCTTATTTAATTTGAAGGAAAATTTAAAAGATTATTAGTTCTGAATTTTATTTTTTGAAAAGTATTTTTTTAGTTAAAATCTATATATTAATAACTCTATAAATTAATAAAATATCAAAATCCCGACATTATTAATTTATAGAGTTTCTACTGTATATACAAGATGAACATAATCTTAATTAATTACAAGAGAATATATAATAATAATGATATGAGAAATCATAAGTATTGGATGATTGACTGGAGTTATACACTTATACTCTTTCTCTTTTACACACAGACCATATTCGTTTACAAAACAAAATATACATTATTGAACAGGTTAAGATGGACATAAACGCCCATTTGGGGTAAAATACAAACTCAGTCATATTTGTTAGCAACAATGCTACATACATTAGATGCAATATCTAAAGAATTTTTTATTAATAAGAATCATCAATCTCTGGACATCTAAAAATCTACATTATTCAGCTCCATACTAAAAAGTTAAAACCAATAGAAATGTAGAAGCTGAAGATCTCATCTCTCTAACGAGCTAAAACATCAGTCTGATGATGATGATTAGAAAAGCTGGTTTAAGCTAACCGGAGAACCTCGAATACACCGGTTCACAACATGAAGATAAACCGCGAGACAAACAGTGATAATCACTGAAGACTTAGCACCAACATACCCAACAACTTGACGTCCTCTCTCCGTAACTTCTCCCTGAACCAAATCAAAACTCCTCCTAAAGCTCTGCGTCGTCTTCAAGATCACAAACTCAACAATCGATCTCATCGTCTCCAACGTCACTCTCCCCGTAACATCAAACATAAACTTCCGATTACTCGGCACCGCTAACGTAGTCGCAACCGCCTCTGCCCATCCGTTCCCTGAACAATCCTCCTTCTTCCTCCTCATCATCTCTGTTTCTTCTTTGGATGTGAAAACGTCGTGAGAGGTTCTAATGAACGTCTCGAGAGCTCCGTTACAGACGGAAACAAGAACGTCTCTCGCGCCGTCTCGATGCTTCGGATTCGTTAAACCGGAGAATATCTGATCGTATGTGTTGATCCCAACTGTTCTCTCGATGTAGACTGATACTGCCGAGCTAGTGAATCTCTCGATGCAATCTGCAAACAGCTCTCTACACTTATCGTCTCTCAGCAAACTCATCCATTTCTCAGAATCACTACCATTACCACTCACAACAATCTCATCAGAGTAGAATCCAAGAACGAGATTCTTCGCAAAGCTACCAACAACGACGGAGACGAAACCAGTTCCTGATTCCGAGAAGAGAAATCTCTCAACCACACTCGATTTCGATTTGATTCCGATTCCTGATTCCGAATTTTTCGATTCCTGATAACCGCGGAAAAACCCAATCGAGACGGCCTCAGAAACCCTAGATAGAGAATCAGCGAACTCTTTCGATTTGGTGATCTTCGCGATCTGTTTCAAGCTTTTAGGGATTTCGTCGGAATCCGATTCGAGAATCTCTTTCAAGTCTCGGGAGACGATGCTTATCGTCTCGGCGGAATCGATTACCAGCTCGGCGAAGGAAACGATTCCTCCGAGGAGCTTCGTGAGACGCTTCGTCTTCCTCGCGATGTATTGAGAGTTGTAGACCTTGTAAGCTCCGTAGCCAGAAATTCCGGTAATCGCTAGCAGAATCAGCCATTTCCTTCTTCTTTGTGGTGATATTAAACCTAATCGAGCAAGGTCCATCAAATTGGAACTGCAAAACTCCACGGAGCGAGAGAGGGAGAGGGAGAGAGATTTAGGGTTTATAATGGTATGCGGATTGTGGATGGGATTGTGGAAGAAGAGGTGATTTGATTACGTGATTGATTTGGATAGTGAGACATGAATGTAGAAACCAAGAAGTGAGGAAACTCCAGAAGGCGAGAGTGAAACAAAGAACAAGTTGAAGAAGGAGAAGAAGACGACGAATCTTCGATTTGGTTGGTTTACTATGAACCGTTTGATGTGACGCTCTTGTGGAATCTTTCCGGTTTAGGAAAAACCATTTGTGCTGGCAAGTACAATGTATATATATATTTCCCATAATGTTAATTGTTAAACCAAAATTTATAAAAGAAAAAAACTATTTGTGCTGGCCATGTACTGTGCATATTTGTTTCCATCTAAATCATATTAAAGAAAATCAAATTCTATAGAAGGGAAATCCATTTTGTGCTGACCATGTAAAGTAAATACTTTTTTTCCATCTAAAATCATATTATGCTAACTTTTTGAAATATATTTCGTTGAGGAAAAACCAATTTTGCTGGTTATGTCTGTAATATATTTTTCCATCTAAATCATATTATGCTAAATCAATTTTTATAACATTTTGACATCTTTCCGGTTAATAAAAAATTATTTGTGCTAGCCAGGTACTGTATGTTTTTTAATATCAACTTTAATGAATAAAGTCGATTGATAATAATGCAAGGATGGTTAGAATTCTAGCTCTTCCAGAGTGGTATCTCACTGATGGCTCCCCTACCATATAAATCATATCATGCTAAACCAAAATTTATAACAAGAGCACAAATTTTGGTTATACAGTGCATCCAGTTATATTGTGAGTTTTCATTTAAAATAAATAAATAGATAGCCAAATGGCCAATGGCTTGATTTTCCGATTATGAAGATGATTCTTTAAACATGTTCGTAAAATAACGAGAGAACATAAAATGAAATAGTATAATCAGGATCTTGAAAAATACTAGAGAAATAAGTTGCTCGTTGTGCGAATTTAAAACTATATGATAATTTTATTAAATTTTCTTTATTTTTTTTTTAATTATTGAAAAATATAATATCCTAACTCGCTTAGATATTTAAAAATATTGTTGGAAATTTTATTCATCATAGTATTTCGCACATACAACACTAATGATATTTATAATATACTAGATTAGGTCCTGTGTATTCGCATGATTTATAATTTAATGTTGTAAGTATTGTAGAAAAAAATACAGAAAAATAAAAATGAAATTTCATCCCTTTTAAAAAATAAGTAAAATAGGAAAACTGCACCATTAGAAATCATTTTTTAAAAATATGTTTTATTTTCTAAATTTAATAACTGAATTAGAGTCATAATTCAAAGAAAGTTAGTTCAAAAACACGTTAGAGAAACAAATTGCTCCTCGATTCATCTTAATCACAACGGGTGTCATAATCCGAACGATAATTTTTATCCTTTATTATACGATATATTTTTTAAATTATCTTTTTATTTTTTCATAAAGATTAACCTTTTTATAAATATTTGATTTCTTTTTTCCTACTGTTGATTATACTTTCTTCTGATTTTTATTTTCAACAAATAACATCATGTTGCTCCATTTTTTCTAATATTCATTGTTTTTTTTCTGATTTTTTTTCCTTCTTTTTTACATAAGGATAAATATCTTATTACCTTTCTATCTATTTTTATTGGTCCTCAATTCACCGCTTGTTATAATCATTCTGATATTTTCATCCTTTGTAACACGATAATTTTTTTGAATTATCTTTTTATTTTTCAATAGAGATTAACCTTTCTATAATTATTTTTTTCTTTGTTTCCTATTGTTGATCTAATTTTTTCTATTTTTTTATTGTTTTCAAGTAATTAACATTTTTTTTCATTTTTCCATAAGAATTAGGTTTTTTTTTTAATTATTTATTTTCCTTTTATCTGATATTCCTTGTTCTTTCTTATGAATTTTGTTGTTTCATTTTCCATTTATTTTCCTTTTTCCATAGGGATTAACATTTTATTTTTTATTTTTTTGTCAATTTTTTAATTAGCAAATTTTATTATTTTCTTTAATGACACATGTCACGATCTTAATACATTCAATACTAATAATGACACACGTTGCGATCTAATGAATTATAAAAATTATACATGTCGCAATCATGTTGCGCGCATCCAGCTTTATATAATAAGATTTTTATATAAGAGGTAACTCCACATTTCATCTCCCCTTTCTCTTCCCAAAAATTTAGTATGCTTTAAATATTCCATTTGTTCAGTACATTAAACTATAAACATTTGACTCAATGTAAAATTCTTAAATGTGTTTGTAGAATCACATTTTCACTCAGAATATGGTACAACATATTCGTTACTTTTTGTTTGTGGTAGTATTTGAGCACATGACCATTGATTCTTTAATTTATTACCGTTTTAGTTTTGTGAATATAGATTGTATCTTTTCAACATACATTCCATAATACTTAAAATAAACTTCTTGACCTGATTTCGCATTAGCTTCTAACTATCTTTTTTTGGTAGTGGCGGAGTTCATCATTTATATGTTGAGACCGAGGAGGCTCCTAAGTCCTAACATAACTCAAAACATTTACATGAGCAACACATTGGTCTCTTTAAAGCTCGTAGGACTCGAGACTCCAAAGTGTGTTGTGTCTCTCTACCTTGTCTTAAGATCATGCATATTAATTATAATTCTACTATATAGCTTTTTCAACAAAATGTTTAATTTTCTTAATTGCCCTCAAATGATGAAATAAGAACAAAAAAAAAAAAATAAGGAGGGTAATTAAGAAAATGATAAATTTTACTAGTATTTTTCTTGTGTACTTATAAAAGGAATCTTTCTTTTTTTGGTAAAAATCATAAAAGGAATCGTATCTATAATTTGTTGACTGTGTTACTCTGAATGTTTGGACATGTTTCTCGGTTGTCATTTTTTTTTTTTTTGAACCAAGACTTTCTTTTTGTCTGTCACTTTGCTCATCCTTGAACCATAACTTCAACAACAATCCGACGACGACGAACGGTGAGTTTCTTCATACTCAGATAAATATATATATCTCTATTTCAATCTCCTCTCTCTCGTTTGCATGTATATGTACTATGTGATTTTTAATCAATAGGGAACCTGGGGTTTTCAGATCCAATCTGTTTTTTTTTTTTTTTTTTTTTCAAATGAAATGATTGTTTTTGAAACTTTAGGGTTAGGTTGCTCCTCATGGGCGGTTTGGATAGAATCAGCGATTTACCGGAAAGTTTGCTAGCTGAAATTCTCTCTCACCTTCCCACCAAAGTCTCCGTTAAGACAAGCCTTATGTCGAAGAGATGGGGATCTCTCTGGCGTAGGGTTCCTGGACTTGAAGTAACGCTTGATGATTTCCGCGGCGACGGCCAAGCCATGGATAGCTTCGTCAACAAATTTCTGGAGTCTAACAAAGACTCACGAATGAAAAAGTTCAAGATACAATCCATGCAATGCAATAATGACCGGCTCATGGAGTGGATTGATACAGCAGTTGCTCACGGAGTTCAAGAGTTATACGTTGAGACTACAAATGCTCTTTATCCAACTCAGGAAAGTTTCGAGATCAACACATTGATCTCTTTAAAGCTCATGTGTGTAGGACTCAAGATCATGCATATGGAAGACGTTTGGTATGAATATGATCCTTTGATCGTAGAGAAGATTATCTCCAGTTGTCAAACACTCGAAGATCTTACAATGATTAGTCGCAAGACTATGCCTGCCGGTTTGTTTAGTACAATTGATGAGAAGAATACGTGTGTGAGGTCTCAGACTCTGAAAAGATTTCGTCTCATATTTGAGAATACTTGGGGTGGTACAAATTTTTATGTTGAGATTGATGCACCAAGACTTGAGTATCTGTGTATTAGAGATTATCAATCTGATAGGATTGTGGTGAAGAACTTGAGCTCCTTGTCGATGGTCGACATCGATACTAATTTTAGTGTCACTCTCGAGATTGATATGATCTTCTCAAACAAGAGAGATACAATCAAAGATTTTTTCGCCGGTATTTCTGGTGTAAAGTATATGATCATCTCACATGCTACTCTTGAGGTAAATTACATTCTCTTTGATGCATATATAACAACTAAATTTTGTTTAATCCTCTATAATCATTTATTTTCCTCTTGCATGTAGGTCTTCTACCTATATTCCGAGTACGTAAAGATTCCCAAATTCAACAACTTGCTTTTATTCTAATCTTGTCATTTACTTTTTCCAAAAAACCTTAGCCTCTCTTTCTGTTCTTAAGCTCTTGCTCTTGAACCTTAGATCTAGGCTCTATCTTTATTTTTCTGCACTTGCTTATTTCAATAAAAGTTGTTCTATTTCATCTCTTTTATCTTCTGTTGTCTCTTTCATTGCATTTCATTATGTATTTCACAATGTGTAGTGAGTAGTTCTTCTTAGGGTTTAAAGATGGGTTAGACTAGAGGATCTTTATGCTTAATCTCTCTTGCTTGATGTTCTTAATCTAAAATCTCTCTCTTTTGGACAAAACCTAAGGCAACACAACCACTATCCATGGTGTGCTTGATCATAAGCGGTTTTCCTCATGAGAATGATGGAAAATCGCTTGAAAAGGTCCACTAAGAGCTCCAATATGCTTGCTCTCGAAATGGAGTTTATAGGTGTTGGATGGGTTAATTTGAGCAATGATCCTACTGCCTCTAAGGCTTGATTCTCACTGGCTGACCCCCTGTTTCTGAGATCTTGCCTTAGATGATAGCTTTCACCTTGGGAAAAGGTTAGCTAGGCTTGAGAAGCTTAATACCAAGAGATAGCTTGAGTACAAGTGTTAAAGAGCAAGAATGATTAAGTATAGCCTTCCCCTAGTCGCAGGACCCTGTCTTAGACCCTAATCTTCGTCCTAGTAGTTTAAAGTTCGCACCTTTATCGCTTTTTTTTATTGCATTTCCTCTATTTTTACTTCAACTCGACCCTCAACTCGATCGAGCTCTATTGCTCTGTTCTAACTCGATCGAGCCTTAGGTCGAGCCGCTTTATTCTTGTTTATTTCATGCGTTTTCACCCTGTTTCATATCCACATTGCATTTTATTTCATTAGGTTGTTAGAATCACTCATCTTTATAATATTTGCTTGACTTCCTTGTATTTGCATATTCTCATAGAGTAGCAACAAACCCATTTGGAATATTTCTCATAGCCTGCTATTGAAATAGATATGAATAATTGCAGCTCATAGACGGATATAACCTGGAGCCGTGAGAAAAAGGATGACTATCGAAGAGATCATCACGAAGCTCATGAATCCAATCTTGCAGTTCATTTTTAATGTATTGTTAAAATATAAGTTATGCTTTTATATCTGCCCTTATGAGTTCTCTTTGTACTATTTTATAGTCACACAAATTTTGATTTAGGAAAACATATCAGCACAATTCATTTATTTTTTTCCGCCTATGATAAGGAAATAAACAAAATTTGATTTGTATTATTTTCCATAAACTGTCACTTTTCATTTACTTTCTTGCCAATTAAGAGATGCTTGGGTTATTCATTTGTGTTTCATTTCTTTAATAAATATTTTACTCTAAATTTGGTTTGTATTAATTGCCATTGACTAGCACATTTCAAATCTATTTATTAATGTTTGACTCTCTTAATTATCTAAGAAAAGATAAAATACTCCCTCTGTTTTTAGTTAATGAATTTTCTGAGATTTTCACATATTAAGAAAAAGTTAAATATCAATTATAAGTGTACAATTTTTTTAAAATAAGACAACTTTTTAGAATTTGTAAACCAATAGAAATCCAAAAAACATAATTGTTGAAAATGAAATCTGAATCTTTTTGTACTAAGTCATTTGAAATAAGTTCCAATGCAGTTTTATGAGTAAATTATTAAAAACCGAATCCATGCGATATTGCAGAGATTTTAGAATCAACTAAGATAGATTCTTAAAATAAGACAAAAAGTTTAAATCTAAAGGATTATAAAACCTATAGAATTCATTTCAAATACATAATTGAATAATCCCCCTAAGTGATTTTGAATGATTTTGTAAAATGTGACCTTGACTGACTCTCTGACCGGCTAAATATACTCGTTCATATTTTTATGTCTAACACAAATGAAGATAACAAAATAAATCGTTGAATACGAAGGCAGTGATATGGGGATCCTCAATTTAGTAAAAAGTCTAATTCTGAGCTTTGGTTGAATATGAGAACTACCGCATGATAGATCGCGTATAAGTGCATTATGCCAAACCTCTAAGTATCTGAATTTGAGAGTATAGACAGCCACACAAATCATACAAATTAACATATATCCCCATGCCTTTGAAATTATTGATGAACTACACAAAAATCATGGTTGTAGTTATAGGGAAAAACAAATTCATCATAGAAAACTTATATGCATTATTTTGATAAATTCAGATGATTTCAAAGCTTTTGATCTTCAGCATTTCTTGCCCCATCCATTTAACTTCCATTGATTGGTATTTTCTATTAAATCATCTCTATAAACAAGTTGAGTTACCTAAAATTTACCTGGCTATTAGAAAGATAGAAGAAAACACAGATCACAAGTGCTAACAAATCACACAGTCACAAACATCTAGATACTTTTTTTTTTTGGAACAAAGAAATACAAATATAAATAAATTTAGATACTTATTATTTTTCATTGATGATTTTCAACAGAGTACATTTTCGATTTCAAATAGTTAAATGATAACAACAACAAATACCCATAGGATATTTCTCGTCAGGAATGCATTTGCCCGTGTTGAATCCTCGACTGATGCAGTTGTTCGGACAGTTATTAAACCCTCCACAGGGTCCATAGCAGTTTGTAGAAGGTTCTTGAGCTTTCCCTACATTTCACCCAAAACCAAAACAAATAGTAAGAGTATGTACTGATATTTTACAATAGAAACGTTATTAATATTTCTCATAGCCTGCTATTGAAATAGATATGAATAATTGCAGCTTATAGACGGATATAACCTGGAGCAGTGAGAAAAAAGATGACTATCCAAGAGACCATCACGAAGCTCATGAATCCAATCTTGCAGTTCATTTTTAATGTATTGTTAAAATATAAGTTATGCTTTTATATCTGCTCTTATGAGTTCTCTTTGTACTATTTTATAGTCACACAAATTTTGATTTAGGAAAACATATCAGCACAATTCATTTATTTTTTTCCGCCTATGATAAGGAAACAAACAAAATTTGATCTGTATTATTTTCCATAAACTGTCACTTTTCATTTATTTTCTTGCCAATTAAGAGATGCTTGGGTTATTCATTTGTGTTTCATTTCTTTAATAAATATTTTACTCTAAATTTGGTTTGTATTAATTGCCATTGACTAGCACATTTCAAATCTATTTATTAATGTTTGACTCTCTTAATTATCTAAGAAAAGATAAAATACTCCCTCTATTTTTAGTTAATGAATTTTCTGAGATTTTCACATATTAAGAAAAAGTTAAATATCAATTATAAGTGTACATTTTTTTTTAAAATAAGACAGCTTTTTAGAATTTGTAAACCAATAGAAATCCAAAAAACATAACTGTTGAAAATGAAATCTGAATCTTTTTGTACTAAGTCATTTGAAATAAGTTTCCAATGGAGTTTTATGAGTAAATTATTAAAAACTGAATCCATGCGATATTGCAGATAGATTCTTAAAATAAGACAAAAATTTTAAATCTAAAGGATTATAAAACCTATAGAATTCATTTCAAATACATAATTGAATAATCCCCCTAAGTGATTTTGAATTATTTTGTAAAATGTGACCTTTTCTGACTCTCTGACCGGCTAAATGTACTCGTTCATATTTTTATTTCTAACACAAATGAAGATAACAAAATAAATCGTTGAATACGAAGGCAGTGATATAGGGATTCTCAATTTAGTCAAAAGTCTAATTCTGAGCATTGGTTGAATATGACAACTACCGCATGATAGATCGCGTATAAGTGCATTATGCCAAACCCCTAGGTATCTGAATTTGAGAGTATAGACAGCCACACAAATCATACAAATTAACATATATCCCCATGCCTTTGAAATTATTGATGAACTACACAAAAATCATGGTTGTAGTTATAGGGAAAAACAAATTCATCATAGAAAACTTATATGCATTATTTTGATAAATTCAGATGATTTCAAAGCTTTTGATCTTCAGCATTTCTTGCCCCATCCATTTAACTTCCATTGATTGGTATTTTCTATTAAATCATCTCTATAAGCAAGTTGAGTTACCTAAAATTTACCTGGCTATTAGAAAGATAGAAGAAAACACAGATCACAAGTGCTAACAAATCACACAGTCACAAACATCTAGATACTTTTTTTTTTGGAACAAAGAAATACAAATATAAATAAATTTAGATAGTTATTATTTTTCATTGATGATTTTCAACAGAGTACATTTTCGATTTCAAATAGTTAAATGATAACAACAACAAATACCCATAGGATATTTCTCGTCAGGAATGCATTTGCCCGTGTTGAATCCTCGACTGATGCAGTTGTTCGGACAGTTATTAAACCCTCCACAGGGTCCATAGCAGTTTGTAGAAGGTTCTTGAGCTTTCCCTACATTTCACCCAAAACCAAAACAAATAGTAAGAGTATGTACTGATATTTTACAATAGAAACGTTATTAATATTTCTCATAGCCTGCTATTGAAATAGATATGAATAATTGCAGCTTATAGACGGATATAACCTGGAGCAGTGAGAAAAAAGATGACTATCCAAGAGACCATCACGAAGCTCATGAATCCAATCTTGCAGTTCATTTTTAATGTATTGTTAAAATATAAGTTATGCTTTTATATCTGCTCTTATGAGTTCTCTTTGTACTATTTTATAGTCACACAAATTTTGATTTAGGAAAACATATCAGCACAATTCATTTATTTTTTTCCGCCTATGATAAGGAAACAAACAAAATTTGATCTGTATTATTTTCCATAAACTGTCACTTTTCATTTATTTTCTTGCCAATTAAGAGATGCTTGGGTTATTCATTTGTGTTTCATTTCTTTAATAAATATTTTACTCTAAATTTGGTTTGTATTAATTGCCATTGACTAGCACATTTCAAATCTATTTATTAATGTTTGACTCTCTTAATTATCTAAGAAAAGATAAAATACTCCCTCTATTTTTAGTTAATGAATTTTCTGAGATTTTCACATATTAAGAAAAAGTTAAATATCAATTATAAGTGTACATTTTTTTTTAAAATAAGACAGCTTTTTAGAATTTGTAAACCAATAGAAATCCAAAAAACATAACTGTTGAAAATGAAATCTGAATCTTTTTGTACTAAGTCATTTGAAATAAGTTTCCAATGGAGTTTTATGAGTAAATTATTAAAAACTGAATCCATGCGATATTGCAGATAGATTCTTAAAATAAGACAAAAATTTTAAATCTAAAGGATTATAAAACCTATAGAATTCATTTCAAATACATAATTGAATAATCCCCCTAAGTGATTTTGAATTATTTTGTAAAATGTGACCTTTTCTGACTCTCTGACCGGCTAAATGTACTCGTTCATATTTTTATTTCTAACACAAATGAAGATAACAAAATAAATCGTTGAATACGAAGGCAGTGATATAGGGATTCTCAATTTAGTCAAAAGTCTAATTCTGAGCATTGGTTGAATATGACAACTACCGCATGATAGATCGCGTATAAGTGCATTATGCCAAACCCCTAGGTATCTGAATTTGAGAGTATAGACAGCCACACAAATCATACAAATTAACATATATCCCCATGCCTTTGAAATTATTGATGAACTACACAAAAATCATGGTTGTAGTTATAGGGAAAAACAAATTCATCATAGAAAACTTATATGCATTATTTTGATAAATTCAGATGATTTCAAAGCTTTTGATCTTCAGCATTTCTTGCCCCATCCATTTAACTTCCATTGATTGGTATTTTCTATTAAATCATCTCTATAAGCAAGTTGAGTTACCTAAAATTTACCTGGCTATTAGAAAGATAGAAGAAAACACAGATCACAATTGCTAACAAATCACACAGTCACAAGCATCTAGATACTTTTTTTTTTTAGAACAAAGAAATACAAATATAAATAAATTTAGATACTTATTATTTTTCATTGATGATTTTCAACAGAGTACATTTTCGATTTCAAATAGTTAAATGATAACAACAACAAATACCCATAGGATATTTCTCGTCAGGAATGCATTTGCCTGTGTTGAATCCTCGACTGATGCAGTTGTTCGGACAGTTATTAAACCCTCCACAGGGTCCATAGCAGTTTGTAGAAGGTTCTTGAGCTTTCCCTACATTTCACCCAAAACCAAAACAAATAGTAAGAGTATGTACTGATATTTTACAATAGAAACGTTATTAATATTTCTCATAGCCTGCTATTGAAATAGATATGAATAATTGCAGCTTATAGAGGGATATAACCTGGAGCCGTGAGAAAAAGGATGACTATCGAAGAGACCATCACGAAGCTCATGAATCCAATCTTGCAGTTCATTTTTAATGTATTGTTAAAATATAAGTTATACTTTTATATCTGCCCTTATGAGTTCTCTTTGTACTATTTTATAGTCACACAAATTTTGATTTAGGAAAACATATCAGCACAATTCATTTTTTTTTTTCCGCCTATGATAAGGAAACAAACAAAATTTGATTTGTATTATTTTCCATAAACTGTCACTTTTCATTTATTTTCTTGCCAATTAAGAGATGCTTGGCTTATTCATTTGTGTTTCATTTCTTTAATAAATATTTTACTATAAATTTGGTTTGTATTAATTGCCATTGACTAGCACATTTCAAATCTATTTATTAATGTTTGACTCTCTTAATTATCTAAGAAAAGATAAAATACTCTCTCTGTTTTTAGTTAATGAATTTTCTGAGATTTTCACATATTAAGAAAAAGTTAAATATCAATTATAAGTGTATAATTTTTTTAAAATAAGACAACTTTTTTGACTTCACCAAAAAGTCTACTCCGACAAACGTTGACTATTAGACTTCACCAAGAAGTCTACTCCAACAAACGTTGACTATTAGACTTCTCCAAGAAGTATATCAAGAACTAGGCTTCGAAATGAAGTCTAACCCAATATTAGACTTTGAAATGAAGTCTACTAATGAGTAGATTTCATTTCAAATTCTAATACATCATTAATATACTTCAGGGATAGACTTCACGATAAAACAAACTACTGAAAGTTTGCAAAACTAGTCTTTTTTCGAAGCAGACCTCACATATAGACTTCTCGTAAAAAGTTTCTCTTTTGTCAATTGCAAAATTAATCTGTTTCGAGTAGACTTCAAAACTAATATTTTTTTTGTTTTCAAAGGAATGTGGGTAGACTTGCAAAACTAGTTTCTAACGACTTGCAAAAATATGAAATTCACTCAGATCTTCCGGAATTTTACCTTGCCGTGATCTTAAGTTTCGTTGACGGCATAGAACTTCGATTTAGAGCTTCAGCAAACTTCCTCAACCGTTATAATGATCTCCAACACCAAAGATGGGAGGATCTAAGAACATAAACTTTGAAAAGATGAAAATGTGTGTTCTTGGGGTGAATATTGAGAAGAAATTGACGAATACAAGTTTCTGAGATGATATAATGAGTTTGTATGTATGTTTGAAGAGTAAATAATGCATTCAAAGTTTGATTTCGGTTGAGAATGGTTGTTGGACGAATTGATGGTGATGGCATTCTCGTGAATAAATGAAGAAGATGAGGTTTCTTTGGACAATTTATTTTTGTATTAGACTTTACGGTTAGACTTCAAGGACGAAAGTAATGGCATTTTCGTTATTATCACAAATATGGTAAGGATAAAGAAGGAAGAAAAAAAGAGGATATTACTTTTGGAATTGACTTCAATTGGTGTACTACTATTGAAAACAGCCTTATATTTCATCCCCGAAATCCACCGTATTTGAACTAAAAATCAATAAATATGCAAAAAAATATCTTAAATTATTTATTTAGAATTTTTAAGGTATAGTGGTGAAAATTATGATGCATTTACAGATTTATTTAACGTTTTATGTCTATTATTTAAAAATTTGTTTTTATTTTCAAGAGTTCGACTTTTTAATCATAATTTTGTGTTGACTCTCATTTTAAGAATTAAAGTGAGCAAGTGATAGTTGAGGAATAAAAGTTCTCATTGCAAATAGTTGGGGAATAATATGAGCAATTTCCCATGGTTATGGTTAAGAATTTTTTTTCATTTAACCTTTTATAAAAATTATTTAAGATAGTATAATTTCCACATTGTAAAATGAAGACAAGAACCAAACTATCCGATTATTATGTCCCATAAGATTTGAAATTACGTAAATAGACATCTTTAAATTAAAAAAGTTAGGTGTAAAATATGGACTCGGGTCCAACTCAGTCTATTTTAATTTATGAGAGAAAAACGTGAATGACAACACGTGGACACACTCCTTTAATTGAATTCGAAAATTTAATTTCTTGTAAATTTACTGAAATGCAAATGAGTGACAACCATAAAATTTGTACAATGATTGCGTGCTTATTACGTTTAGATTACAATGCATATTTATGTTTAAGCAACAGAAAAAAAAACGAGAATTCGAAAAATATAGAAATTAACGATTAAATGGTGGTGAATCCCACGATGGCGGAGGAAGCTGAACCAACGGCTGATTAGAACCCATGTCTGGGTTTGGTGTAACCGGGAAATGGATTTTCAGGTATCGTTGGGATGGACTCGATTGGCGGTGCGAAATGACGTTACTGGGCGGTTGCTCCGGCGGCAGCCACGGATTTGTGATCTCTGGCGGCGTGGTAAAGACGGGAGTTTGCGGTGGTATATCTCCGAGGATTGGTGGCGTGGAGAATATTGGAACTATCAGTGGATTTTCAACGATAGGTGGTGTTGAGAAAATCGGTGGGAAGTCTTCAACCGGCGGAGGCAAAATCGGCGGGAACTCTTGAACGGGTGGGGTAGAATAGGGGGAAGTCTTGAACCGGTGGAGGTAAAACCGGCGGGAACTCTTGAACGGGTGGAGGTAAAATTGAGGGAAGTCTTCAACTGGTGGAGGCAAAATTGGCGGTGAACCGGTGAGGTAAAATCGGGGAGATCTTGAACCGGTGGAGGTAAAATGGAGGGAAATCATCAACTGGTGGAGGTAAAATTGGGGTAATCTTCAACTGGTGGAGGTAAAATGGCGGTAATTCTTCAACCGGTGGAGAAAATCTTCAACCGGTGGAGGTAAAATTGGAGGAGGTCTTGAACCGGTGGAGGTAGAATTGGAGGGAAATCTTGAACCGGTGGAGGCATGATCACGGGAAGGACTGATGGCGAAGGTGGTGTTGACTCGTCAATTGGTGGCTCAATTGTTACATCAGGTGGTGAAAGTTCAGGTGTAGATTGGTCAGGCGGTGATGGAATCAGTGGCTGTCCAATGACTATATCCGGTGGGAAATTGTCTATCGGTGGAGGAACTAATGAAGGGATAACTTGTGTGGGTGGTGGAGTTCCGGTGAATATATCCGGCGGTGGAAATTGTGCAGCCGGCGGCGTTATTGTTGACCGGTCTAATGGCGGAGGAAGGAGGAAAACTGGTGATGGTGGAGGTGACCCGGTCGTTACATCAGGCGGTGAAAACCATGTCATTGGTGGCATAGGCGGGACGTCCGGAACCAACGGTGGAGGAGGTGTACCGAAAGTTCCCGGGGCACCGGCGCCTAAAAGAGGAGGAGGAGGTGTACTGGTTGATCCGGGAGCTCCGCCACCTAAAAAAGGAGGAGGAGGTGAAATTGTAGTTCCTGGAACTCCACCACCTAAAAGAGGAGGAGGAGGTGAAAAGGTGGTTCCCGGAGCTCCCCCACCTAAAAGAGGAGGAGGAGGTGAACCGAAGATTCCCGGAGCACCGCCGCCTAAAAGAGGAGGAGGAGGTGAAATGGTGGTTCCCGGAGCTCCCCCACCTAAAAGAGGAGGAGGAGGTGAGCCGAAGATTCCCGGAGCACCCCGCCTAAAAGAGGAGGAGGAGGTGAACCGAAGATTCCCGGAGCACCGCCGCCTAATAGAGGAGGAGGAGGTGAACCGATGATTCCTGGAGCACCGCCGCCTAAAAGAGGAGGTGGTGGCGATAAAACTAGAGGAATGGATGGTGAGGGAAGAGAGGAAGATAATGGTGGCGGAAGAGGAGCAGCAGGTGGAGGAAGGGCTAGCACTGGCGTTGGTGGAGGGAGGGTTGGAACCGGAGATGGCGTTGCTGGTGGTGGCAGAATTGGCAATACAGGTGGGAGTAGAATCGGTGTTGGGGGTAATGGCGGTGGTGGGCAAGGTACTGGTGGAGGTGGAGCCGGGGCTGGGCAAGTACTGGTGGAGGGGGCCGGGGCTGAGACACAAGTATGCAAGGCTGCGGAGGAGGAGGTGTTGGGGCTGAGACACAAGTTATGCAAGGCGGTGGTGGAGGCGGTGTTGGTGGTGATGGTGGAGGTGGGCAAGGAACCGGGGCTGGCGGTGGCGGTGGTGGTGAGCAAGGAACTGGTATTGGTGGTGGTGGTGGTGATGCTTCTACACAATTAACACAAGGTGGTGGTGGTGGTGGTGGTGGTGTTACAACGGGGAGTGATGGTCGAGATTGGTGGTGGTGAAACCACGGGAGGAGGCAAGAAAGGGTTTTGAGGACAAGGCACAATCGGGAAATTCCATTGGCCGCAAGTGTCGAACACGCACCGGAAAAATACGTCGCACTTATTTGAGAGAGCTTCTCCGTTTCTACTTCGGTTTCTTCTTCTGCTTTTGACTCGGTTGTTTCTTCTAACTGAACCTTTCTTGTCTTCGTCTTTGTGTTTGTGTGGACTCTCGATAGTCTCTATTGCTTCTGTTATTGAAACACTGATCAAAAGCACTGCAACTATACATCTTATTACAATTCTTGTCATGTTCTTGTTTCTTTTTATTCTAAGACATGCAAGAACTAAACTGCGCATGTGTGTATTTATAGTTGAATCATTGATGGGAGTTTTGGCGATTCTTACGTTTGTCACTACTAAAGGACCTTGTTTTTGTTAGGATTCAATGCATATTATTTATTTGGTTACACAATCCAATGTAAAGAGGCAATAACTAAAACTGACTCATGATTTAGAGCTCTGATGAGGTGAGTGTTAGCCAGCACACATCATCTCTACTCAAAGAATATTGAAGTGAATAGCGACAGAAGTATTTTGTTTGTTCACACCTCACAACAGCTAAAAGAAATGAATGTAAGAGATTAATAATCGATATGAAATTATGAACAAAACAAAAAGGTGAGGAAAAGAGAAGAGAGTACAAGAAGCAAATAAATGCAAAGAGCATTGAATTAGAGAGGAGTCTTCACTTCTGAGAATTGTTATCTTATCCTACGCCGTTACTTCAGCTGCTCTTCTTCGTTATTACCTCGTTTGAAAACAACCTGACACCACCACAATCACATTTAAAATTAATATAAACTCGAAATGAGTTTTCACTCATTTGTTTGGCCCAGTTTACTTTCTCCATAGTGTCTAATAAGCCTGGCCCATTTAATTTTAAAACGGTGAGACTTCTGCTTGAAATGCTACTGTAAATCCAAGAATTATGTATGGTTTATGCTCCTATTTATAAACAATGAAATCATTAGAAAGTAACACACACAAAAATCGGTTATAAATTAGTAACAAGATTTCAAAATATATTTCAAGTAAACGGATTACTAGCTACTATGACTTTAAACTCAATTTCAAAGTTTAAACGAAGAGAGAAAGGAGCTTAATTGGCAGACATTGTAAAACAGCATATTGAATAAAGAGAGAGTAAGCTAACATTATGGTAATGCAAAGGATGAGCCTAGACATGGCTCCCACGTCTTCCTCAAAACTGTTCCCTAACTTAAACATCTACTTGGTTTCGTAACGCGACAGAGGAAAACATTAAAGAGAGCATCGGATATGTTTTTAAAAGTTCAAGACGGAGGGGATTCCGTCAACTGTGGAGGAGAGGACTGGGCGGGAACATCTGGAGGAGGGAGCCAAGTTATTGGTGGCATTGGTGGAAAATCTTCCAACGGCGGTGGAAGAGAGAACATCAGCGGAAAATCGTCTTGAGGAGGTGCTGGCTGAAGCCAGAACGGCGGAGGCTGTATCGTCGGATCCAAGCCTGGTTGCACTGGTGGAGGAGACAGCACTAAAGGAGGCGGAAACACCATCACTGGCGGTGGCGGAGGTGGAGACGGAACCAACGGCGGCGGCGGTGGCGATGGGACCAACGGTGGTGGAGTTGGCCTTGGACGTGGTCGACGCGGTGGTGGTGGAGAAGGGACCAACGGTGGTGGAGTTGGTCGTGGACGCGGTCTCGGACGTGATGGTGGACGCGGTGGTTGGAAAGGGAGAAAAGGATTATCCGGCGAAGGTGTGGTAGGAAAAGGCCAGCGACCACATGTTCCGAATAAGTATTGATAGAGAGGATCGCAGCTTCTGCGTCCACGATTCTGACCGCCACCACTGCGTCTTCCTCTGCTTGTTTGCTTTTGATCCTCTATGGTTACAGCCACTGCGTTAGGGTTAGCGTATGCGTTGTCTTTGTGATCTAAAACGAACTCTGTGGTGGAAATGATAAAAAGAAGCAGTGGAAACAAAACCCCGACCACGAGTAGTTGTTTTGCTTTCATCATCTCTTTTTTTGTTTGCTTTGTTCCTTCTTCTATCGACAGAGAACTACTACGTACAAGACAATTATATAATAATAGTAAATGCCGAGAGAAAGATGAGAATTATCTTGATTACACAATTTAATGGCAAAGTTTAAAGAATTAAAACGATGTCTGAATAGCATCCTCATTTATGTCACACAACTAAACACTCTACTGCTAGGTTTGTGTTATGTTCCGATACACATATTTCCCTCTCTTTTTTTTCCCCAAAGTTTTTTTTTTTTAGAGTTTTACTGAAGAAGAATATCTCATCTTTTTTATATTTTTTGGGTGAAAGAAAATCTCATCTTGTTGACAGTAATAAAGAAATCTCACCTTGTTTAGCAAGCAATTGTCAATATTACAAATTTGAGAAATGATTTTGATTTGTTTTTGTACTTTGTACATACTACTACTCGTTTTAGTGATAAATTTTGAACATGCCTATTGAACAGGGCCGGCCCTGAGCATACGCAGGGTAAGCGGCCGAGTAGGGCATCCAATTATTAGAGGCATAATTTTGTTAAATTTTTTCTTAAGGGTGTATAAATATCATTTACAAAGTTTTAACAAGGACATATTTTAGTTACTTAATTTTTTCTTAAAGGGATATATTTTTAAAGGGGTTTATATATGATTTACAAATTTTTAAAACCTTTTTAGTGATATTAATTTTTATAGGGCATTTGTTAACAAATACATGCGATCTACCATGTCACAAGAAAGGTTAAATGAATTGGCTTTGTTATCGATCGAGACACTATGGTTGAAAAACTCGATTATGTGAGTTTAATAAATTATTTTGCAGCTCAAAATCCAAGGAGAGCTATATTTACTCATAAATATAGCCATAAGAAATCAGTTTATATATTTTTCGCAAACTATTTATAAAGTGGGATGTTTATTTAGAATTTGTTTATTTTATGAAATTTTAAGGGTTTTTTTATATTTTTACTGTTTTGTGATTTTGGAAAAAGAAAATTGAAAGGTATACTTTTTAGATTTGAGTAGGGCATTTAAATTCATTGGACCGACACTGCTATTGAAAGCTAGGGTTGCTTGGAATAATGTGCAATAATTGTAATTGAGTGCTTTGCCCATTCATTTGATGTTTATCTTCATTCTCTCCAGACTACATATTCCTTCAATACATTGACTTCAATTAAACGTTATCGTATTATCTTCTTTCAGTCGAAACTAGTTTTTTAGTATTCTTCACGTAATTTTAGTCACGCATGCAGCTATTCAAGAAAATGGGACCATATTATGGGCCTTAAATATAATAAAACGAAAGAAATGCCTATTCTAATTATAGGCCCAATGAACTTTATGAACCTGCCAAGTAAAATGGAAAACAGATTCCCACAGACAGAGGAACTAAACTACTCTGGAAGCTAAAAGGAATCAGAAGCCAACTTAAAAAGGCATTTATCTGTTGAGTTGAGTTAATTTGGTTTTCTTAAGTCGGATCAGTTAATTTCGGTATGTATTGTTGAGTTTAATTAACAGCCACCAAGGAAGAGATTGATCCTACAGAGTTGCGAAATTGGATCGCTGAATGATGGTGTGACGGTGTCAACGAAGAAAATGCCATAGAGATCGATTCAAAACATCACAGAAGCACAGGATCCACAAGCAGGTTTGGTGCAGATACCATACAGCAGATCCCACATCTGAAGGTATTGTTACTCTTCACATGTTACTGATTTTGGGGTTCCTTAGTTTAGGGTCTTAAAGCATTGACAAGATATTGCTATGTAATGAGGCTACCAGTGATTTTGTATCCATTTGTTGCTTCATTTTGTCAAAAACCTATCGACTATAAAGCTAAATAGTTTGGCAAATGCAAGTTGTTTCATTTGTATTGACATTTTGATTTTGTTAATTACAAGAGACTCGGAGAGTTGAATAAGTTAGGTATATTGGGATATTGTAGAGGTTAATGGGCCATGAGGCCTTAATCTCTAGAGAGTGTGCAAGATAAAGTCCCACATCGGAAAGTGGGAGGGACCTGAATAATATATAAGGGACTCAGGCCTTTCCACCTATTGCCAATTGGTTTTAGGTTGGATGCCAAGGAAACTTAACATGGTATTAGAGCTAAGATCCGCACACTCTCATGACCCGGCCCAGAAAGGGTCCCACCCCCGACTCTAGGATTGATGGTCTGCGAGATTAATGGCTAGAATGGCCATTATCTCGAGGGAGGGTATTGGAATATTGTAGAGGTTAATGGGCCATGAGGCCTTAATCTCTAGAGAGTGTGCAAGATAAAGTCCCACATCGGAAAGTGGGAGGGACCTTGAATAATATATAAGGGACTCAGGCCTTTCCACCTATTGCCAATTGGTTTTAGGTTGGATGCCAAGGAAACTTAACAATGTAGCATGAGGCATTGGAAAGCACCTCTACACTTTCTCTTACATATTTTCAGGTGTGAAGATCATTTAGCATGAACATGGCTTTTTTGTTTTGTTTTGTTCAGATATTTAGTGAAAGCTACGATTGAAATCAAGGTGGATTCTGGGACAAGTGCTTTGGAGTGTTTTGGGAATCAGCAGCACAAGAAGAAACTCGCAGCTGAGGAGGCAGCAGAAGCAGCGCTCTGGTTATACTCTTGCGACAGACAAAGCTTCTGGCCGCCCAAGACAGGCAACGTGAAGCAGCCATGTGAATTAACTTAACATTCGATATGAGATCTACTTAGAGAGCTCAAAAGTGTAGGTCTGTATTATAAAATGTTGATCTTTTTTTGTAGATTCGGATTTAAGTGAACAGTTTGGTATGATTTGTCATTTCTTTTTGGTTTCTCACCCTAGTGTTCACTTAGTGAGTGGATTCAAATGAAATGACATCGGCAAAGATATGTGACATACGAGAAATAAGGACTTGCAATGATTTAGAATTGCTCCTTTACCTTCTGCATTGATCACTCACTAACTTGATCGTTCTCATCAATCTACAACATTGTGGCTTTAAGGGCAAACACTATAGCAAATACTCTGTGGCAGTTGAAAGTTTACAGAACAGTTTCAATGCTCTCTTCTTGTGCAGCATCCAGGTGATAACACCAACTAATAGCAAACATTGAAACTCTCTAACTATATACTCATTTGGTTCCTTATTATATGATGTTTTGTAGTTTTCACATGGATTAAGAAACAATTAATGTTAAGTTATTAGTGTATTACTTTTTCATTTTAAATAATTATTAGTCAATAAAAATCATAGAATTTTTCTGAAGTTTACATTGTTGTTACATTAATTAACAAAAAGTACATTTAATAGTTTAAAACATCAAGTAGTAAGGAATAAGTAAAGAAAGCTAAAACATCAACTTATAAGGAACAAAGGGAGTATAAAAAGTGTTATGATCATATTCTAATTTGAAAACAATGAAAAAACACTTTAAAAAGTGTTGTGACACCGGCATTACATGTTTGGGCATTATCTCCAATTCCAACAGCTCCGACCCATTTCCCGACCGTTTGACTGTTCATAAATATGACACATTTGTTTTGGCACTTACCAACAAATGATGATAGGATGAGGATGTACCCTTGGTTGATCTGGTATATTTGGAAGACTCGAAATGATAAGGTGATTGTCAATGTGGATTAATGGGACCCAAATGAGATAATTGTTAAAGCCACAGCGGAGTCGGCGGCATGGGCAACGGCCCAGGAGAAACGCGAGACAGTGTATTCCAGTTCATCATCCCAGGAGGAAACTACAATATTGGGGGATGTTTGTCAGGTCGATGGGGCGTGGAAGGATTCAGAACACAAAGCGGGGTTAGGATGGTATTTATGTAACCTTGAATCTGGGGATAAACTTATGGGAACATATAATTTGAGGCGGGGAATATCACCACTTCAGACAGAGTTGGAGGCTCTTCTTTGGGCGATGCAGTGTATGTTACGACATAACAACCTCTTAACGATTTTTCAGACAGACTGTTCTGATGTGGTAAAGATGGTGTCTAAACCAGAGGAGTGACCGGCGTTTTCAACACTGCTTGACGAGGTTGACATGTGTAAGAAGAAGTTTACCTCCTTCTCCATCATGCAAATACCAAGAAAAGAAAACACGAAGGCGGACAAGTTAGCACGGAGTGCTCGAGCTCTACCTACTGATGTGTATTATGTAAACTCTGTTTCACCAGCTTGGATTTCCGAGCTGTTTTAGAAATAGAGGCTGTTCACAAAAAAAAAAAAGTTAACAGATTATGAAATTAAAGATTGCCAAAATTTAGAAGAAAACAAAAATTAAAGATAGCAACCTATGTTGCATGGAAACTCCGTCCGAGCCGCATTTCCTATTTTGGAAACGTTTCCAAAATGAAAACTCTCGGAAACAACTCTTGACACACTTTTAGTAAACAATCTTAGAATTGTACAAAGATAGTGTTAGTATTATCTTTGAGTTCACCATTATGAGTGGAACCAAGAATGGCCTCAACAGCTTTCTCCGGATCCATCACATAATATACTTCCGTTAGTTTCACTTCCTTAAGCTCAACCGCAAAGTACCTAGCGGATTTCTCCTGACACACTTCATTACGAACTCGTTATAAGATATAGTTCAGAAACACAAGAAAACTAATGATTTGTAGTAGTTTTCGTTGACTGGCACATTTTAACTATTTTTTGCCAATTAAAGATACTTACGTTAGTCAATGTGTTTGTTTTTAACATATCTCTAAGTTTGACTCGTATTAATTGTCATTGACTGACACATTTTAAAAGTTTTATGATCAGTTGCACATTCTACATGTCATTTAGACAATTTCTCCTTTTAAAAATCACAAGAGCTTTATACATATTACATATTTCGTATGGTAAACTCAACTTATCGGCCGAGTCAAGGATGCTCAAAAACTTAGGTACACGATGATAGATTAGTTAGTTCCATTTATAGTAAAACTTCTGTAAAATAATAATGTTGGTACTTTGAAATTTTATTATTTTATAGAATTATTATTTTATATAAATATTCTATCAAAAATAAGAAACTTTATTGAAATATATTTTTTCACTTTTTTTATTCAAATTTTCCTTATATTTTGTTATTTACATATTTCATGCTCATAAGTTCAAAATCTAGAAGAAATTATGTCTACTGTTCTTAATGGTGAAGATGAAGTTGAAGATGATGAGAAAGGATATATGCAAGTAGTTAAGCAATTGTGTCTTCGAGAACTCTTCACAACTTTTGGCTGCATGTTGAGAATACACCACCAGAAATTGTAGATGCAATAAGAAAAATTTGAGATGAGCTCCAACAGGAATCCAAATTTCAGAAAAGACAAACTACATTGGAGTCATATTTCACTAAATTGTCTTAGCTTTATAATTATTATCTTAGCAACATTGGAATCCATCGACCTGACAAACATTGTCTTAGTTTATAAACTAAGATGATAAGACAATAGTAATATTTTTGAAACTACTATGTAAAAATAGTTCCAACAATAAGCTAAGATATATATGCCTTAGTTTTATAATTATTATCTTAGCTTATTGTTGGAACTATTTTTACATAGTAGTTTCAAAAATATTACTATTGTCTTATCATCTTATCGCATTATGCTATTTTTTACATTGGCCCGAGTTAGGACCGGAGAAAATTATTATCTTATAGTGTTTATTATTTTATCGAGTATTGTTTTATAGAGGTTCTACTGTAATTTGTAACTTTATAAAATTTAACACCTTGATCTAACCAGCTAAATATACTGGTTTCATATTTTTGTCACTAACACAAATGAAGATAACACAATAAACCCTTGAATACAAAGGCAGTGATATGGGGATTATACTAAACTATGGGGATTCTCAATTTAGTATAGAGTAAAATTCTGAGCATTGGTTGAATATGAGAACTACCGCATGATAGATAATGTATAAATGCATTATACCAAACACCTAAGTATCTGAGAGTATAGTCAAGCACACGAATTATTAAAATTAACATAGGAAAAATTGCATTTTTAACCTTCAAAGTGGTAAATGCTAACACTTTAAACCTTCAAAGTATTGCACTAACACTTTAAACCCTCAAATCAATTATGTTAACACATAAAATCTTCAAATTAGCTAAAAAATTTGTGCCGCCTAAAAGAAAAGAATGTGACGGATTAGTATCCGGTAAATGATGACGTGCTAGTAATTTTTATTTTTCTAAACAAAAAATAATATTAATTATTATTATTATTATTATTTTATAAATTAAAAAAAAAAAAAAACAAAGAATCTTCATCTTCTTCGTTCTTTCCAACTCGATGCCAATCCTTCCCCTGCAAATATGTTGAGTTAGACTTGTTTTTTAGTCCCATCGATCTATTCTCTAATCTATTACTCATCCCTTTCGTCATTCTCCTTCTCTTTCCTTTCATTTTCCAGATTTTGTTCCTCTCCTCCTCCAATTTCTTAATCTGTGATCTAGAAAACTGATTTAGAAGAGACAAGATTCCCAAACTAATTTATTGTCATGGCAAATCATTATCCCCAAATTTGTTTACTGTAAAAAAGAAAAAAAAAAAAAAAGATCTGGTTCTGACTCAATAATAATTGAGATCTGGTTCATTTTTTATGGCATTTGTTTGAAAGAGAAAAAGAGATTTGTCGTGGCTTTTGGGAAAGAAGAAAGAGAAGAATATTCTTCTTATTTTTATAAATAAAAAATAAATAAAAATAATAATTAATATTATTTTTTATTTAGAAATTAAAAATGACTGGCACGTCAGCATTTTACCTGATACATTTAAAGCTTTCAAAGCTTTTGATCTTCAGCCATTTCTGGCCTCATCCATTTAACTTCCATTGATTGGTATTTTCTATTTATTCTTCTCTATAAACAAGTTGAGTTACCTAATAGTTGCCTGACTATTAGAAAGAAAGAAGAAAAAGCAGATCACAATTGTCAGCAAATCACACAGTCACAAATATTAAGAAACTTTTTTTTTATCAAAAAAAATATAAATATAAATAAATCTAGATACTTATTATCTTTCATTGATGATTTTCAACAGAATACATTTTCGATTTCAAATATTTATGAACGATAACAACAACAAATGCCGTTAGGATATTTTCATGTCAGGAACACATTTGCCCATATCGAATCCCCCCCTCATGCACTTGTTCAGACAGTTATTAAACCCCGGCGCTCCATATGGTCCATTGCAGATTTTAGAAGGGTCTTCAGCTTTCCCTACATTTCACCCAAAACCAAAACAAATAGTAAGAGTATGTACTGAGATTTTGTAATAAAATTATTAATATTCTCATATATAGCCTGCATTTGAAATGGATATGATGAATTGCAGCTCATATAGACGGATATAACCTGGAGCCATGAGCAAAAGGAGGATTATGGAAGAGATCATCATGAAGCTCATGAATCCAATCTTGCAGTTCATTTTTAAATGTATAGTTAAAATATAAGTTATGCTTTTGTATCTGCCCTTATGAGTTTTCTTTGTATTATTTTATAGTCACACAAATTTTTGTATAGAAAAAAATATCAGCACAATGCATTTATTTTTTTTGCCTATGATAGGGAAAAAAAACAAAATTTAATTTGTATTAATTTCCAGTGATTGTCACTTTTCATTTATTTTCTTGCTAATTAAGAGATGCTTGTGTTATTCATTTGTTTTTCATTTCTTTAAGAAATTTTTTACTCTAAATTTGGTTTGTTTTAATTGTCATTGACTAACACATTTCAAATATATTTATTAATATTTGACTCTCTTAATCATTTAAGAAAATATAAAATACTTCTTTTGTTTTCTTATTAATGAATTTTCTGAGATTTTCACACATATCTGATTTTTCATTGTGTTTGAGTTCACCATTATGAGTGGAACCAAGAATGGCCTCAACAGCTTTCTCCAGATCCATCACATAATATACTTCCGTTAGTTTCACTTCCTTAAGCTCAACCTCAAAGTATCTAGCAAATTTCTCCTGACACACTTCATTATGAACTCGTTAATATAGTTCAGAAACACAAAAAAAAAACTAATTATGTGATACTAATTAAAGATATTTTTTTGGTTGACTGGCACATTTTAAATATTTTTTGCCAATTAAAGATACTTACGTTTTGTTTTTAACATATCTCTAAGTTTGACTCGTACTAACTTTCATTGACTGACACCTTTTAAAAGTTTTATGATCAATTGCACATTCTACATGTCATTTAGACACTTTCTCCTTTTAAAAATAACAAGAGCTGTGTACATATTACATATTTCGTATGGTAGAATCAACTTATCGGTCGAGTCTAGGATGCTCAAAAACTTAAGTACACGATGATAGATTAGTTAGTTCCACTTAATTTGTAACCTTATATAATTTAACACCTTGATCAAACCGGCTAAATATACTGGTTCCATATTTTTGTCTCTAACACGAATGAAGACAACACAATAAACCCTTGAATACAAAGGCAGTGATATGGGGATTATCAGTTTAGTAAAGAGTCAAATTCTGAGCATTGGTTGAAAATGAGAACTACCACATGATAGATTGTGTATAAATGCATTATACCAAACACCTAAGTATCTGAGAGTATAGACAAGAACACAAATTATAAAAATTAACGTATATCCCCACCTTTGAAATTATTGATGAACTATACAAAAATAATGTTGGTAGTTATAGGGAAAAATAAATTCATTATAGAAAACTTATATGCATTATGTCTATTAAATGTTTTGATAAATTCAGATGTTTTCAAAGCTTTTGATCTTCAGCATTTCTGGCCCCATCCATTTAAAACTTCCATTGATTGGTATTTTCTATTAATTCCTCTCTAGCTATAAACAAGTTGAGTTACCTAAGATTTACCTGGCTATTAGAAAGAAAGAAGAAAAAGCAGATCACAATTGTCAGAAAATCACAGTCATAAGCATCTAGATACTATTTTTGGAACAAAAAAATACAAATAAATCTAGATACTTATTATTTTTCATTGATGATTTTCAATAGGGTACATTTTCGATTTCAAATATTTATAAATGATAACAACAACAAATTCCCTTAGGATATTTCTTGTCAGGAACACATTTGCCCATATCGAATCCCCCCTTGATGCAGTCATTCGGACAGTTACTAGACCCCTCTCCACAGGGTCCTTTGCAGGTTATAGAAAATTCTTCAGATTTCCCTACATTTCACCCAAAACCAAAACAAATAGTAAGAGTATTTACTGAGATTTTGTAATAAAATTATTAATATTTCTCATAGCCTGCATTTGAAATAGATATGATGAATTTCAGCTCATATAGACGGATATAACCTGAAGCCGTGAGAAAAAGGAGGATTATCGAAGAGATCATCACGAAGCTCATGAATCCAATCTTGCAGTTCATTTTTAATGTATAGTTAAAATATAAGTTATACTTTTATATCTCCCCCTTATTAGTTCTCTTTGTATTAATTTATAGTCACACAAATTTTGATTTAGGAAAAAATATCAGCACAATTCATTTATTTGTTTTGCCTATGATAGTGAAAAAAAAACAAAATTTGAGTTGTATTAATTTCCAGTGAGTGTCACTTTTCATTTATTTTCTTGCCAATTAAGAGATGCTTGTGTTATTCATTTGCGTTTCATTTCTTTAATAATTTTATTACTCTAAATTTGGTTTGTATTAATTGTCATCGACTGACACATTTCATATATATTTATTGATATTTAACTCTCTTAATCATCTACTAAAATTGTAAAACTAATTAAGATAAATTATAAAAAGTCCTCTTGGTGAAGACTTTTAAAGCTTTTAACTTTACACTTATAATTATATAAAAAGAAATGTGAAGACTACTTTAAACTAATATAATTGAATTTCAAAAAGAGTCATTTGTAAGCTTTACTAAAAAAAAAAGGTAGAGTAAAAAATATTTTATTGATTGTGAAATATTTGTGGAGTTATGGTTTGACTCAATTTTTTAAAAATTGGATCAGTGACCGAACTAAAAAAATCTTTTGGTCATGGTTCAATATGATTAGACGAGGGTTGATGATATTTTGAAAATTTACATTTAATTTTATATATTTTTCTATAATTATATCTATGATTTTTGAATAATATTAAAATATATGAATAGCTTCTAAATATCAAATATATCATTTCAAAATCAGAATGATTGAAAAAAAAATAAAAAACTAAAATAACTATTATTATAGAAAATATAAAATTTCATCGTTTGATTATAAATCTGGTTTAATACGGTTCAATGGGTCACCAAATTTTGGTTTTTAATTGGTCAAATATGACTTTTTAACCGGTCTAATCATCTATGAATTTTAGCAATAACTAACCCGTAAATGTTTCCGAATCATGGTTTGTTCAACCATCGGTCCGGTTGTAAAAACACTACGTACTTTAACTCTAAAAATATATAAAAAGAACTCATACGAACTATTAAGGAGACCTCACTATCAATATGGACCATATAGCATTACAAATTTATGAGTTTAATTATTGACTGTATGCGTAATTTATGATTGTTTATTTGTCGTGTTCCCTTAATTAAATAAGAAATGTCGAAGTTGACATAAATATTGACTTAGCCCGCGGTAATCTTTGGGTTCGAATCTCCGATATATCGTTTTGAATATTCGTGCCACGTGTGTGCCAACAAGGATCCCGACATGGCAGGTGACTCATCTCCGTTCATGCAATTTTGACTAAATAAATTCGGATCAATGCATATTTTGGCCAAATCATCAAAACTTCGGGTATGAAAAGGTGATATGTGAAAGTCTAGGTATGTATTTGCAAACTAAAATTGGTCATGTACTAATTAGCACCTCTGCCAAGAGTTGATGGACAAATGGCCGTTCTCCCCATAAAATGTCATTGACCTAATTACAATCACATAAACAGATAACAATGTACATGTTTCCGTCTCATTCCATGCCTAATCAATTGTGCATGGTCTTGTAGATCCATAACGGCTTGCTGCTCCCTTTGTTTTGCAGCTTGTTGCCATTATTATATTGTGCATCACGCCATCACCTGGCGATTTCCATAAATTATAAACTCCAAGCTAAGCCAAAATGGGGAATATAGCTTGCTTTTCATTGTAGACATAAATCTATCTCTTATTATCAAGGAAATAAGATCTAGACAGTTCTTAGTGAGTTATTGTATTTTCTTTTGCTTGCCCCGAAAGTTCCAGGAAATCCAGACACTAGTAGAATAAATATACGTATAGTTAATGTGTTCCAGGAAATCCAGGAAAGATGCTCATTTATTGTATAGTTAATGTGTTCCCATTGTGTGATGTGTAGAGAAAAACTCAATTAAAAAAAATATGGAACTCAATGGACCTTTTATTCACCCAATGTATACTAAGTGCATGGTCTGTAACGACTCTGTGAGTCAAATTTTATTCAGAGAGCGTGAACTGAGAATCATTCAGATGTAGGAACAACACCTCTCTTCCTCCTGAAGGGCGACGACGGGAGACTTTCTTGGTGACTTCAAAAGGTTAATCATATTTCTTTTCATCTTATATGAAGTTGTCACTACTTTCTTCTTTTTTGGGGTTAATGTTACTTTCCGCTTGTTTCATGGAGAATTTATTTGTCTTTGGTGAACGACATGTCCTTTAATCTTCTCTCTTTCTCTTTGAGTCTCAAAATATATAGCACTTTTTCCATATCCACGATAGGACTTCACTGTAACTAGATGTCTCTCTTGCAACTGGGAACGTACTGAGAGAGACGAATTCTAAGTTAAAGCTTCATTATCAAAAGAAATGAGATGATTTCTAGATTTCTAGCACCTTTGTCGAAATACGCATAAATATAGGAATCAAATTCAGAATACATACCATACTTTTTTGATTAAAGACCAGCTTTAATCAAAGAATATAGAAAAATGGATTAGCTTCAATCTTTCTTTCTTTTTGGGTCGAATCAGCTTCAATCTTCAAAATTTCAAATTAGAAAAAGGGAAATTTCTGAATATACGCCCAAAAAAACTCAATCCTTGTCTCTTTACTTCTTTTTTGACTTTTGCCATGTTTAACTCAATATTACTAATAATTCAAAAGAAATATATTTTAAACACTTAGTAAAAAAAAGTAAAAAAAAATAGAACAATGATCTAAACACTGTTTAGAATATTTGAACATTTAAAAGAGAATTTCTTGTTGTACATAAATTTAAATGATGTTTTGTTCTACCAGTTTCGAAAATAAAAGTGAAATTTGTTTTCTACTAATTACAAAGACGTTTAACAATGGTAAGATATGATACGTTCAATCTTTCTTTCTTTTTGGGTCGAATCAGCTTCAATCTTCAAAATTTCAAATTAGAAAAAGGGAAATTTGTGAATATACGCCCAAAAAAACTCAATCCTTGTCTCTTTACTTCTTTTTTGACTTTTGCCATGTTTAACTCAATATTACTAATAATTCAAAAGAAATATATTTTAAACACTTAGTAAAAAAAAGTAAAAAAAAATAGAACAATGATCTAAACACTGTTTAGAATATTTGAACATTTAAAAGAGAATTTCTTGTTGTACATAAATTTAAATGATGTTTTGTTCTACCAGTTTCGAAAATAAAAGTGAAATTTGTTTTCTACTAGTTACAAAGACGTTTAACAATGGTAAGATATGATATCTAGTCTGTTTATACCTCTACCAATAACAGAATTTGATATCTACCGAATACTATAAGTTCTACGGTTTAGTAGATTTTGCTTCATATATAATCTACAAATTATACAATCTTTTGCTAACTGTGGATTTTGTGTTCTACGGGAAACAATTACTTGTACCATTAGTAGTACTGTACGAAAAACAAGTCTGCTACCACTCGCAGAATTTGTGTTTCTACTAGAATCACTGCCATTTATCGTTTGTAAAACTCATATTCTACGAGAATCTGAGAAATTATTGCAACTAATTATTTTAAAAATCTTTGTTACCTTTTTTGTCTCTCCTTCTGAAAATAAACCGACAACATCTTCCTTCTTCTTCCTTGTTCTTCTTCCTCCTCTTTATACTACTTAATCCTCTCACTTTCTTTTTTTCCTTCTATGTTAACAATTTAACATGTTTAATTTTGTTTTTTTTGTTTAACCTTTTTTGACATTTTTCTTGCGAGCTTCTCATAATAAAAATTATATGCAATTTTAATGTCCACGTGAAAACAACTTAAGATCGAATTGTGCAACTCCACTATAAATTTTATCGCACTTCAAAGTTGTGATGTTGACTCATGATTATTTATGTTCATCAATACTATCTTGATTCTTGATTTTTTTTTCTACTTACTCCAGGAGCCAAAATGGCTGATGAAATTGTCGTTTGCAATACAAAAGCTTTGGGACTTATTGAGCCACGAATACGAGCAATTTCAAGGAGTTGAAGATCAAGTAACTGATCTAAAACGTGATCTAAGCTTGTTAAAGTCATTTTTGAAAGATGCAGATGCCAAGAAACATACAAGTACAACGGTGAGAAACTGTGTGGAAGAGGTCAAGGAAATTGTATATGATGCTGAAGATATAGTTGAAACCTTTCTTCTAAAGGACGAACACAGAAAAAGAAATGGTGTCTACAATTGTATCAGAAGACTTGCTTGCATTTTTCCGGAACGCAGAAAATTTGCATTAGAAGTTGGATGCATAAGTAAGACAATCTCCAAGGTGATTAATGATATGGAAAGTTTTGGAGTACAAAAGATTATTGTTGATGGCGGGAGCATTGCACAGGCACAGCCTATACATGATCGAGAAAGGGAAATGAGACACACGTTTTCTAGGGATTATGAAAGCGATTTGGTGGGGTTAGAAGAAAATATAAAGAAACTGGTTGGAGTATTGGTGGAAGAAGATCATGTTCAAGTGGTTTCCATTACCGGGATGGGTGGTCTTGGTAAAACCACCCTTGCTAGACAAGTTTTTAACCATGATATGGTTAAAAATAAGTTTGATGGACTCGCATGGGTGTGTGTTTCACAAGAATTTACCCGTAAATCTGTGTGGCAATCGATCTTGCGAACTCTCAAACCTAGTGAAGTGGAAAAGAAAATCATAGAGATGACGGAAGAGACACTCCAAGGTGAAATCTTTGAATTGTTGGAAACATCAAAATCATTGATTGTCCTCGATGACATATGGAAAGAAGAAGATTGGAACTTAATCAAGCCAATTTTTCCACCGAAAAAAGGTGGCCTCTTATTGTACTTGATAATAACAAAAGAAAAAAAAAAAAAAAGAAAGTTGAAAGAAAATCACTCTCATTATATCTTTCTTTTATATGATTTTAATAGATGAGTTACATGTTTTACAGGGTGGACGGTGCTACTTACTTCTCGAAATGAGGGAGTTGCTGGACATGGAGATACAACGTATCACAAGGTCAAACCAGAATGCTTAACTATTCAAGACAGTTGGATACTTTTTCGAAGAATAGCATTTCCAAGGAAAGATGCTTCGGGTAAGCATTTTTGTTTGTTTAACTCAACATCAAAACATTCAATCAATCAGAAAAAGACATTACACCAGGCTGTTAGCTATTAATGAAGGATTTTTTTTATCCATCTTTCCATTATGATGATAGTCAGATATATTATTTTTTTGGCTAGTAACAACACAATCGTCTAAACCCTAAATACTTGATTGTGATATATCTCTCTCACATGCAAATAGTATCCTTATTTTAGGGCCCAATTTCGAATAATTTATCCTAGTTGTGATGATGTGCAGAATTCAAAGTTGATGAGGAAATGGAAGAGCTGGGTATGCAAATGATCAATTATTGTGGGAGATTGCCTTTGGCTGTCAAAGTATTAGGAGGTTTGCTATCGGTAAAATATTCACTACGTGAGTGGAGAAGAGTGTTTGACAATATTGGATCTAATATCATGGGAACAACCAAGTTCAATGACGACGATAACAGTTTAGTTTACCGTGTATTGTCCCTGAGCTTTGAAGAGTTGCCTCGTTATTTGAAGCATTGCTTCCTCTACCTAGCACATTTTCCAGAAGATTATCCAATAAATGTAGAAGGGATCCATTATCACATTTCGGTCCATATCCGGTGTGGGCGTTAGAGCATTGAGAGGACCTTTCCCTAGTACGAGAGGACCGGGAAGGACGCACCTCTGGTGTACCAGTTATCGTGCCCACGGTAAACGCTGGGTAGCCAAGTGCGGAGCGGATAACTGCTGAAAGCATCTAAGTAGTAAGCCCACCCCAAGATGAGTGCTCTCCTATTCCGACTTCCCCAGAGCCTCCGGTAGCACAGCTATGGGCTGCAGAAGGGATCCCCTATCACGATGAAGAGGACATTCGAGATGTTGCAGATAGCTACATAGAAGAGTTGGTGAGGAGAAATATGGTTATTTCCGAAAGAGACATCAAGACTCTGAGATATGAGACGTGTCGTTTGCATGACATGATGAGAGAAATTTGCTTGTCTAAAGCCAAAGAAGAGAACTTCCTACAAATTGCCGGCATCCGCTCCCCGACCACAAACTCTCAATCTCCTTATGCATCGCGCAGATTTGTCTCACGTAACCCTACCACATTAGATGTTGAGAGAGAGATGACTAATCCAAAACTTCGATCTCTCTTGATTGTTTGTGATAGGGAAGTACGTTGGAAGCTATTAGGTTTAAGACTTACGAGGTTACAACTGCTCAGGGTGTTAGATCTCTCTGGAGGTGAGTTTAAAGGACGGAAGTTACCTTCTGGCATCGGAGAGCTCATCCACTTAAGATACTTGAGCTTAGAAAGTGTTCGTGCATCTCATCTACCTGCTTCTCTAGAGAATCTTAAGTTATTGATGTATCTGAATATAGATTTAATAGGCTTTGTATTTGTGCCCAATGTCTTGATGGGAATGCAAGAATTGAGATACCTTGCATTACCAAGATATATGTATAACACAAAGTTGGAACTGAGAAAGCTAGCAAAGCTGGAGACCCTGAAGAACTTTTCAGCTCCCGAGTGTAGTTTCAGTGATCTCACTGGTATGGCAAAACTGGGGAGTCTCCACATCATTTTAGAGGATGAGACCAGTATAGAGACACTGTCTACATCGATAGCTGGACTGAGGCGCTTGGAAAATCTTCAGATAGACAGTTCTGGGAATACAAAAAAAGAGGAATTTGTTTTGGATTGCATTCATCTCAAACACCTGGATCTGTCTATATATATGCCGAGGTTACCTAATGAGCAACACTTACCTTCTCACCTGACACACATATCCCTACGTGAGTGTTGTTTGCAAGATGATCCAATGCCGATTCTTGAGAAGTTGCTTCACTTGAAAGAGGTTAATTTACGTGATCGATCTTTCTGTGGGAAAAGAATGGTTTGCTCCCGTGGTGGGTTTCCTCGATTGGAGAAACTAATTCTGGATGAGCTAGAGGAGTGGGAAGAGTGGATTATAGAAGAAGGCTCCATGCCACTTCTTGGTTCTCTGGAGATTATTTATTGTCATCAGTTGAGGGATCTTCCTGATGGGCTGCGATTCACATCTTCTTTGAAGTATTTTTGTTTGGATCATATGATGGATGATGAGTGGGAAGAAAGAACGGCGGAAGGAGGAAAAGATTATTACAAAATCAAACACATTCCTTGTTTTACGCTCGGAAAGATTTTGGATTATATCTAGTCAGCAAATACCGACTATCGTACGTACCAGGTAAAATATTACTTGCTCAAATCTAAATAACAAGCTTGCAAATATATATTCTCTGATTGTTTTCAAAGTGGATTCAACAAAATAATTTATAATGACATTTAGAGAAGTACAACTCTGCTGAATTTTTATTGACTTTTTTTCGTTTTATGTTTTGTAGACGAATCTCTTCACAAGCGAGTGTACGTATTATCAAGTTGGTTCATCTGCGGTAACTACATGATAATAACAATCAATAATTAACTCTTCGCATTGTTGTCTTTCGCTTTATAATCAAACATACGATTACTATCGCAGTATCAACATGTGGTGGTTGTTTTTTTTTTTTTTTTTTTTTTTTGTTTATCAACATTGGATTTATGTTTGCTTGTTTTAATAATAACTATGAGTTAATATTAACTTTTTATTATTTTCGATTATTCCATTTTATGCTAAGAATTAATGCTCTACTCTCTGAATAAAATATAGAACTTAAGCTGAATATTCGTTATAAAACATGGGGTTGTTTCACTTCTAGACCCAAAATTGTGGTCAAATGCAAAAGTAACCTCCTGCTTTTTTCATTTTAAGTTTGTCCAGTTTTTTCCAATTAATTACGAAATGCCATTACTTTTTCGATTGGTAGACCGATATTTAGGTCTACCAGATCTGCTGAAAGACCAAACACCCCTCATCTTCTACACTTAATTGCCAAAATGCCATTTCATCAATGTTGACAACCACCATTTTTACCCAATTTGGAGCTGTTAATGCTCCGAAAACTCACTTTGGAGCTAGCATTTCTCCTTCTTTCATCTCACAAACTCTTATTCTTTCCATTTTCTCTCCATTTTCATCCCAAAAACTTAAAAGAAAACTCAAATCTTGGGTCTTGGCATTTCCAATTGTTTAGCTTAGTGATGACCGGAACTCGTAATTGAAGACCTAAATTGAAGTTATCAGCCCGAAGAGCCTTTCTCCAACGGCCAGTAACTTTTCTTTCAAAATTCTAAGAATTTCAGTTTTGGTCTGCGAAGGTAGACTGAAGTGTAGGTCTACCATTACATAGTAGACCTCAGTTTAGGTCTACTGGTCAACGCAGAGTTGACTGTGCCATTTCCTTTGCAAACAAAAAAAATGAGTGGTAGACCTACACTTAGGTCTACTCCACGTGGAGGGTTAGTTTTGCAATTGATTGAGAAAAATGTTTTTTTTGAGGTCTACCTTGTCGGTCTACTCCACGTGGAGGGTTAGTTTTGCAATTGATAAGAAAAATGTTTTTCGGAGGTCTACCTCTTAGGTCTACCTAAAAAAAAAAGTTGGTTTTGCCGTTGACTCAAGTTTGACTTTCCTCAAAAAGGAGAGATTTTGCGTCATTGAGGTCTACCGTGTAGGTCTACCATCCGGTAGACCGCAAGTTGAGGTCTACTGGTCAACGCAAAAAACTGAGGTCTACCACGGAAGTCTACCCAAAAAAGTCAAACTTGAGTCAACGGCAAAACAAACTGTTTTCGGTAGGTAGACCTAAGGCGTAGACTAATTCAGAGGTCTACTTTTTTTGGTAGACCGATTGAGAGGTCTACGTTTTCTGGTAGACGTTACACGGTAGACCTCGTGTAAAAGTCAACGTTTGGTCAATTGCAAAACTAACCCTCCACGTGTAGTAGACCGACAAGGTAGACCTCCAAAAAAACATTTTTCTCGATCAATTGCAAAACTAACCCTCCACGTGGCCGTCCAGTAGACCTAAGTGGAGGTCTACCGTGAACGTCTACTCCGAACGTCTACGTTTTAGGTCTATTATTATGTGTTTTTTAAATGTCGTTTTCCTTTCAATATATCAAATATTTTGAAATTTCTCGAACAATTAGTTGTTTTTATTTGTTTACTTGCTTCTGTGTGAGTTTGAAATGTTCTTTCGGCGTAATTAAGGCTATATTCGGTTTTCTTTTGAATTAGGTATCTAGCTTAATTTTCTGGTAGACCAAATTGTGGGTCTACCTGTCGGTCTACGCCTTCTGTCTACTATCCATTTTGTGGTCTGGTTTATTTTTGTTGCAGATAATTTTGTCTAGCTTCTGTTTATGGATGATGATGAAAAACCGTTCTGTCTACTAATCTGTTATAATTTTTGTTTTTTTCTTTAAGGCTGGAAATTTGGTGATAATGAGATGTGTAGTATTCATGTGACCTTAGTAATTTGAACTTTGAATATAGATGCACTTCACCTTAGTAATTTGGAAAACCGTTCATGTGAATGTGGTGTATTCCTAGTTGAGAAAATCTCTTGTTCACATGTTTGCAAATATACACATATCGCAAAATCAAGAATCGGTCTACCTCGCAAAGATAGACATAAGAATCGGTCTACCTTGTATTAATTGGAGATCTATATTAGAGGTCTACACCTGAGGTATTATTTTCGAGTATTCATGAACTTGTTGAAATAACACACAATAACTAGAAGTGCAAATGCAAAGTCTTACAATCTAAAAAACTCAAATTCGAAAGCAACAAGTGTTTAAACTTAAAACGAAAAGTACTTAAACTAAGAAAAGGGCTTGGCTTTAGCAAAGCTTCCATCTGCAACGCAGAATAGAAACACAACTGTGGCAGCTTCTGTGTAATCTTGCATGCATATTGTTGCGATCACTGTCAAGAACAAAATTATATGCATTAGATTCACCAGCATCAAGTCAAAAGAAAAGGTTGCAAAGAGGATTACACACGTACAAATGAAACAGAGATATAAAAGCAAAGCAAAATTCATACCGTCTTTATCACCATCTCTCTTTCGATTCGCATGAATGACTGAAGCAGCTCTCATCACAAAACCTGCAGAGGATTTCTTGGACCTTTCGACCAAATGGGGTCTGCTTTTCTGGGAACTTGGATTTGAGGCAGCCAGTAGTCTCTCTGCAATCATAAAGCAATGTGTTGTTGTTTTAATGATTGATAGAGATGAAACCGAGTCACAACAAAGAGAGGAGTGTAAAGAGTACCGTGACGCTCTCCTTTGGTGTCTTTCTTGTATGCGTTAGAGACTGTCATTTGACGATTACAGAGATATTGCCTCAATAGCAGCCTCAGATGCCTCAAAGGAGTCATAGCTGATACAACCGAAATCTGGAGAGTTATCAGGGTCAGGATCATGCATAATCTGAAATAAATAAGTTTAGAACATCAGTTTCTAATGCGAATAGCCAGCCATTCTTTTTACCAAACGAATACAGATAGGAGATCACGAAGAATGGACTGAAAGCTATAGAAGAAGAAAAAAGATGCTACCTTAGGATCATAAGCAATCACACCAAATGCACTGAAAGTATCATACATGAGCTTCATCAACATCCTGTAAAAAGAGTTCAAGATATTGAGATTCATTATAGAAAAAAGAGAGATCTTACTATTTTCATTGGAGAGTTTATAAAGACATGGAAATTGACTTACTGTGATAACAAAAATATTTACCTGAGAGATCTTAAGCTCAAGCTCGTTCCACTCCGAGGCTCAAACTATTCCTGTTCCAGCATAGTCATAGACAATCTATTAATATTAGTTATAGACAATCTATTAACCTCAGGAATAGAGAATCTACTAACATATACAGTAACGAAGCTTCATGATAATGTATTCATTTGGAGTAAAATACATACCTTTTCGGTATTCAGAGTCACTGTAACGCCAGGAACAGATCCCTCTAGATCTGGTCTTCTCACAGCGTGTCTAACCGCCTCCGTCCTCCACTCCTCCGTCCACCGCCTTGGAACAAAGACACAGATCCAGATCCAGCATGAGCAAACAAAAAAATGAAGGAGAAAGATGAAGAGGGAATAAAGCCTGCAAATGTATCAGGGAAACAGAGACGTCGTACTTTGCTTGCTAGCTACGGCTGCTGTAGCCGCCGCTCCAGCCGCGACCGCCGCAGCAGCACCGGAAACCGCCGCAGCACCGTTTCAGGAGAGTTTCAGATCCGGAGGATTTGAGAGTAGATCCGGGAAAGGGGAACACTACAGCTTCATTCTCTTTTGTGCTCGAACCCTACATCCTCTAAAACTTCTTTGGCGCTCAGATCCAGCAAAATAGATCTAGAAAAATAGGTCAATATGTCATGTTGTGGCTCAAATCGGATTTAGATCTGTTATGGAGAGAAGATAAATGGCTTACTAGTGCCACCGACGGCTACTTGAGACTGGACGAGAAAGGATGGAGGAGGCCGAGAAATATCTCAACGGTGTGGACGTCCGCCGACGGAGACTAGAAACTCGGTTCTTCGGGGAATCCCGAGAAGGTGGAGACAGGTCGGACGGGAGGCAGAGCCGGAGGCGGAGGCTCATTTCGAAACTTCGTCGGCGGCTCCTCGAAACTCAGGCCATGGAGAGAGTAAACTAGGGCCAAGAAGAAGAAGAAGAAGAAGGTGGCAAGAGGGAGATAGTGGCCACTGGCCACAATTCACGGCGAGAGAGAGAGGCGGCAAGAGAGAGAGAGCGCGGTGAGAGAGAGAGAGCAGAGATTTTTTTTTTAACAAAATTAGGGTTTTTTTTCTTTTATACTGGGATAAATTTTCCGGTTTAAGTAGAAAATTCCTAAATTTTGGTTCAATTAATCTTGGTTCAAGCCTTCAATGATCTATAAGGTCTACCACTACAGTCTACCACAAAATTTCCGGTTCCCGCCATTTTGGTTTAAAACTTGGGATTCCCGCTAGGTTAAAACGGTTGGTAGACCTCCACTTGCGGTCTACTCTATTCTCTACTGTTAGGTCTACTTTACCCTAAACCCTAAATCGAATAATTTAGATACAATTTTGCAACGATTTGCTTGCCATATTGTCAATTTACAGTGTATATCACAAATAAACGAACATTGAATCGTAAAACCAATCAAAAACAATTATTCATCTAAAATTTTTTCAAAACCCTACAACTTACACCATTAAACCCTAAACAATCTACTCAAACTCTTATCCTTATGAACTATTTACATATGATATTTATAGATTCATGATTTTTCTGAAATTTTATTTTTAATATATGTTAAATGTCTATTATTTCGTTATTTGTGAAACAAATATTTCAAAATTTTTTAATATTTTCTTAATTTAAATTTAAGATTTGATGATTTAGTAGACCTACTTGGTAGACCTCCATGGTTTTATAGGCTTTTAACCTAATTTTTTTTTCATAGTTCATTGGTTCAAATCTATGAAATTATATTTTATATAGATGCAAGTTGTCTGTATTGTATTTATGTATAAAATTTTCATCAAAATATTTTTTTCAAATTTTATAATTAAAATTAAAATTTAATGACATAGTAGACTTACTCGGTAGACCTCACATTTTTATAGATTTTAACCTACATATCTTTGCTTATCTATAAATGATTCATTTGTATGCATTCATATTTTTGGTAGTTGATAATGTCTATATTATAATTATTCATACATGTTTTTGTATAAAATATTTTTTATTGAATTGTTAATTAAAATTTAAGATGTTATTACGAGGTAGACCTCTAATATTGTCTACCAGGTAGATCCGCGGTAGATCTACCTGGTCGGAGGTTAAAATCGTAATCGAGGCATGCGTTTTTTTGTTTGGTCATGAGGAGTGTGGGGTAATTTTACTACCCATAGAGGTTAGTTTTGCATTTGATTCAATTTGTGGTCTAGTTGACTAGAAAAATTAAATTATGGTCTAGAATTGGTAATTTCCCCATAAAACATATGCATCTAATAGTTGTGGACATACTCCATACTGATGTTTAGGGTTATTTCCGAATTCTGGTGGTCCGTGAAGCTCTTTCTGCGTGACATGTCTCGTACATGCAATAAAACTCCCATGATGTTCCATTGGGGTCGCTTGACTAAATTGCATAAACCTCAGAACTTAGTACAGTATTAGACAATATATTGCAGTGTATCTTTCTCACATTATAGAAAATGCCATTTCATTCAAGTTTGCATTAAAGCAAAATAGCACATATGACATATCTAACAACAAAAAAATGATTATAACAGAGAATATTTATCCAAAGGTAGAAATAAATATTTGCGACAACCAAAACTTCTAACATGAAGGCGGTACAAATTCTAATTCTGAAGCATTGTCTTCAGTGTTGGCGATAGGCTTGGTTGCAGCAACTTGCTTATTAGCCAAGAGATCAGTGTACTCTTGGTATGGCTTTTTCGAGAATCTTGTTTTTTCCCCGAACTGTTCGTAATATCGTATATACTTTTTTTTTAATTACTTACTGTATGCGTATCATAAATTTATGATTGTTTATTTGGAGTTTTCCCATAAATAAATGAGAAATGTAGAAGTTCATAAAAAAATATAGCCTGGTGGTAATCTCTGTTGGTTAAAATTATGGAGATCATAAGTAAATAAATTAGTGCACTCCATTATTCCAACAGAAGTGTGTACTTTAAAGTAACGGAGATCATAAGTAAATAAAGTTATTTCAAACGTGTGATATAAATATTTATGGAGTGCTCGAATTCTACCTACTGATGTGTACTGTGTAAACTCTGTTTCCCCAACTTGGATTTCCGAGCTGTTTTAGAAATAGAGGCTGTTGACAAAAAAAAAAAAAAAAAAAAAATATGACGAGCTAGTTAACGAAGAAAAACTGTGAACATATTCTAATTTGAAAACAATGAAAAAAAACTTAAACTGTTGTGATAGAAGTTAACAAATCATGAAATTAAAAGTAGCAATATTTAACACAAGTCAATGAAAATTTATACAAATTAAATATTTTAGTCAAAAAAAAAAAAAAAAAATTAAAACTACACGATGATCAAGACAAGTATCCCTTAATTGGTAGAATATTTGAAATGTGCGAATCAATGGAAACTAATACAAATCGATTTTTGTTTTTTTTGTTTCCCTATCATGGTTTGACTCTAAAAATTTATAAAAAGAAGTCGTCCGAACTATTAAGGAAACCTCATCATCCATATGACCATATCACATTACAATACGTGTACTAGCTTATTTGTGATTTCTGTAATTGCTATTGTGATCACGCTAGAATATTCTTTCCTTTAATAGCTCTGTAATATTTTGGTCCAAAAACAAATATCTCTGTAATTAATATATATTCGTGTGAATGATGTACCCGTTGATTCAATACAAAAATCATTCTTCTCTCTTCTCCAAGTTATATTTTGACAATACAGAACAAAAAAATATGAATTGCAAGATTGGATTCTTGAGCTTCATTATGATTATTTCTTCGTTAATCATCCTTTTACTAGCGGCTCCAGGTTATATTTGCCTATAAGCTACAACTCATCATCTCTATATTAATACCAGACTATGATAAATATTAATGATGTTTTTATTATTTTGGTTTTGGGTGAAATGTAGAGAAAGCATTACCGTACTGTGAACCTGCAAGAGATCAACCGTGTAATGGCGCAAACTGTGAGGCCTGGTGCCTCAAATTCAATTACAGAAACGGCATATGCCAGTACCCCGGGGACCCCAAGGCTCCTCGTCTCTGGTATTGTTGCTGTGACTGGCCCTAAGTATTTTGTACTCTCTATTGAGAAAATCAGACAAACTAGCAAGAGTGCAAGATCTCTTTCATCATGATATGTACTTTATACACCGGTTTGAATTTCCAAAATTAAGCATAGTTAAAACACTTACACCGAAAAGTAAACAAAAATCCAAATTTTCTTGCCCTGGATTCTGATGATAGACATGAAATACTTCACCTTTCAAGAGCCTAGTCATTATCAGTATTCGTACTGCAACAATCACAGAGAGAGTAACATGGTCTCCACATTCACTTTTTAATGCAAAAATACAAAAAAAATTTCATTTGTCAACGTAATAATTTTAGAATATGAACAGAAACATCAGGCTGTTATATATAAACTTGAAATCTGACAAAAAAATTGTTGAAAAAGGGAAGTTCAACAACTGCAGAGTACAAGAAGATGAGTTATCATATGGATCTTGGAGATTTGCTTATATTATTTTGGGATCATTCCAGATAAACAAAGTGGACAAGAGTTGCAAAACCAAAGATTATTGGAGTAATCTTTAAGTTGTTAACTAAAATGTCATTCTAAGATTTGGAATCAAATATATATAGTATGTATATGTGACAATGACGAAAAGAAAATAAAGTCAGGAGCATTATCGACCGCCAAGATGACAAAGAGCTTAGACCTTCCCTATCATGAAAGGTTTACTTTGTTATTAAAAAATAACATTAAAAAAGAAAAAACAACAAAACGATGAACAAGACAAGTATCCCTCAGTTGGTAAGTATAATTGAAATGTGCGAATCAAATCGATTTTTTTTCCCTATCATGAGGTAAGCTAAATTCATAGGTTTGACTCTAAAAATATATAAAAAGAAGTCATACGAACTATAAAGGAAACCTCGTCATCCATATCACATTACAATATATGATTTCTGTAATTGCTATTTCGACAAGGAGTATTCTTCCCTCTAAGATCTCTGAAATATTTTTGGTCAAAAAACAAAGATCTCTGTAATTCATATTGTAATCATTCTTGAATATTCTCCAGACGGGATGATATATATACTGTAGACAGTGTGTATGATGTACTCATTGACTCAATACAATAACCATTCTTCTCTCTTCTCTAAGTTACATATTGACAATACAGAAAGAAAAAAAAATGAATTGCAAGATTGGATTCATGAGTTTCATAATGATTTATTCGTTAATTATCCTTTCTTTCACGGCTCCAGGTTATATTCGTCTATAAACTACAACTCATCATATCTATTTTAATAACAGACTATGATAATTATTAATAATGTTTTATTATATATTTCGATATGTACTCTAGTTATTTATTTTGGTTTTGGTGAAATGTAGGGAAAGCTGATTATCCGTACTGTGAACCTGCACCAACTCAACCGTGTGATAGCGTAGAATGTGTGCACAGGTGCCTCAAATTCAATCTGCACAAAACAGGCCAATGTGTGTACCCCACAGACCCCAACGCTCCTCGTCTCTGGTATTGTTGCTGTGACTATCCCTAAGTATTTTTCGTATGGAAAATGTACTCTTTATTGATGATAATCAATCTCTTATTAATATTGTACTCTCTATCTATAAGAATAAATCGTAGCTGAGAACTTGACAGCCTTGATCTGTTTTTTTTCTTCTTCTTCTTTTTAATAGCCACGTAATTTTTACATTCATATGACAATGTATAACTACTATTTTTACAAAAAAATGTATAACTAGCATCTCAACTTGTCTACTATGTTTAAAATCTTATACTCCCTCCGTTTCAAATTAGTTGTCGTTTTGGCAAAATGTATCTACAATTATTTG